AAAAGAAAAAAGTATTCCTCGCGCCATCTGTTCCCAGAGCAGGGCTGGTGTGGGGCCCAGGGCTTCCTGCCGCTCGGGCAGCCAGACCCAGTTTCAGAAGCAGAGACAGCTGCCCCTGGGTTATTTTGGGAAGCGGCTCGACGCGAGGCACCCCGGCCTTCGAGGCATTTCCCGTCACTCTGAAGCTGTTTGCACACCGAGCCCAAGACTGGCAGCTCCTTCCCAGGCCCTGGACGGCTTCCAGCCGGCCCACTCTAATTAGCGCGCCAGCTTCGGCTGCGACTTCAATGGGGCTCAGATCCCGGGGGGAGGGGGGCGAGGGCCGGGGAGGGGGGCGATGGATGGGGGGCCGAGCAGGAGGCCGGCTCCCCTGCCCCTCTTCTCAGTCTCCTCTTGGGAGGCGTGTCCCTCACCCACCTCCCAGCACTGCACCCCCATCTGCCCCGGGACTCACCCCTCCTCTGCACCCTCCTCCTGGATACCCCCACTCCTCCTGTGACAAGCCCCTGAGTTGGGGCGATGAGGGTGTCTCGGGCAGGGGTGACAGCGTTGGGACGAGCTGGAAAGAACACAGGGCTCCGGGGAACTGGCTGAAAGCAGCTTGGAAAGCTGGGGTGGGCAGGAGGCAGGACATGGTCCCCCAAGAAGACCACACAGCCCGCGGTGCCGGAGGGCCGGGGTGGAGGCTGGGGGAGGTTTAGAGCAGGACATCTGACCACGTTCCCAGAACAGAAAACCCCAAGTTTCTGTTCTGGCTGCGGCCGGCGAGGACAGAGGCAGGGAGTCCCGCTGGGGAGTGACCACATCCCCCCTAACAGCTGGCGAGGGCCTGGACCTCGGGGAGCGGGGGGAGAGGTGGGCACAGGGGGCGGAGGCGGGCCCAGGGCGGGAAGGGCAGGACTTGGTGCCCAGGAGGGGAAGGAGGAAGGGCGGGCGTGAGGCCGTGTCGGGCCTGGGGGCCCGGAGGCTGGAGGGAGGACAGGCAAAGGGTCACATCTGACTTGGATGGGGTAGTTTGGGGTGCGCACCCCAAGGGGAGCTGTGCCCAGAGCAGTTGGACATGTGGGTCTGGTGGGGAAGAGCAGGGGGTGCCGGGGGTGAGGGGAACGGAGAGCTCGGGGGCTCCCTGCCCCCGACGGGGCGCCGAGGAGTGTGTGAGCTGCTCGAGGAAAAGCCAGGAAGCGCGGGCGGGACGGGAGGAAGGAACTGGCGGGCCTGGAGCCGGGGGCTGCGCGGCAGGCAGGCTGGGGAGAAGGCTCGGAGCTGAGATGGCGCTGCCGGCACAGACGGATCACCGGGAAGAGAGGCGTGCGCGGCTCCGAGATGGCACACCGCGGCTGCCAGCACCTGCCAGGAAGCAGAGGAAGGAGCCCCGCGACACCCGAGCGGGGAGAAGCCGGAGCCCCAGGCGATGCCTGGGTGGGCGCTGCCTGCGAGGCCCCACTGCTCGTCCGGCCGGAGCTGGGGGTTGTCGCCGCGGGGCAGCGGGGCTCGCTTCACCTTCCTGCCAAGTGACCTCGGGCTCTGGCCCGGCCCCGGGAGCCCGCTGGGCCCCGCCACCGCCCGCCGGGCGCGTCCCTCCTGCCGCGCAGCTCGGAGGCTGAATTCAGACTGTGGGGAGCCCACGCCACTTTCATTCGGGGGCCGAGTAGCAGAGGGTCCCCCGAGTCTCCAGCCACGTCTTTGAGGCAACTTTCGCGGCTGTTGTTCCAGGGAAAGAAGCGCAGGAAGGAGCAAGAGCGGCCCGCGCTCCCGGGGTGGTGGCAGGGGTCCCAGAAGCGAGGCCGGCAGCCGGTGACAGAGACCATGAGTCATAAAATCCCCCACCCCCCAAAATTAAACAGAAAGGAAATTGAGGGGGGTGGAAAATGGGGCAGCAGCGTCAGCCACGCAGGCAGCCCCTCTGCCGGCAGCCCAGGGCGGCTCGCGGCCATCCGGGCAGGCGGACGGGGCGCCCGGAGCCCTCGGGGCTTCTTCAGGCTTTCACGGCCTCCGGGCCCAGGTGCTCAGGCACACCAGGCGGGGGGCAGGCATGGGCCGGGCGGGGGGCAGGCAACCGAGCTCCCAGCCCTCGAGCCTCCGCTTTCCCTGGCCTCTCTCTGGCGTCCTCAGGCTCCCACCGCCCCGTGGTCTGGCCTCCGAGTGGCCTCTCGGGCTGCCCTGATGCCTTGAGCCGGCCTCCGGGCACAGGTGTGAGCACTTACGCGGCACCCTGCGCCCCCGGCCCAGGCGTCCCCGGTCACGGGTGTGTGTGCCCCGCGGCCCCGGCCCAGGCAGGAGAACCTGATCTTTCGCTTCCCCACACCACGGCCACTTGAAGGGACAAAAGTTCCCTGGACCGGGGTCAGAAGGGAGACAGTCGGGGCTGCCGAGGGAGAAGCGGGAGCTGAGGGCTAGTGGGGCAGTTTCCGTTCGGGGTGCAGGGAGAACGTCCTGGAGCGGGACAGGCCCGGGCCCGGGGCGCACCGAGCCCGCCGAGGCCTGCAGGTGCCGAGAGTGACACTAATGAAGCAAACGCCCGAGTCCCCGCGTCCTACTCGGAGTCACCGGGGGTTGCGGCCGTTTCTCCGCATCAACGTTATAACAAAACAACATCCAGCCAAGCGAGGTCCTTCAGGGACCCTGAAAACTGGCCAAAAGGGCAAATCTCCGCGTGATGTAGATTTTACCACCATCCAAAAGTGTGAATGGACCAACAACAAGCAAGAGGCGCGCGGGTCGGGTCACAGGACGCAGCCCTGCAGCCACGGGAGGCGCGTGAGGGCCGAGACGGGTTTACCAGGGCGCAGAGACGCCCCTTCGCCAGCTCCTGCCGGCTTCACATTAAAGCAGATTTCAGAGCAAGCGACTTACACGGGGTGACGAGGATGTCAGGGGCCTCGAGGAAGCGGTGAGCTTGCACTTTGGGGGACCCGGGTGAGCGCACCCTGCAGACACTCCCCTCTCTGTCCAGCCCCTTGGCAGCCCCTTCCCTGGCCCCTGGTCTCCTCCCCCTGCCCCGCCTGCTCCTTCCACCTGCTCAAGAAGCACCCCCTCCCCCGGCTTAAAAAGCTCCCTCTAGAAGCTTCCTGGGGGCACCCACAGCTAGGCACCCCCTTTTCTGCTCTCCCTCTCTGGGAATTGTGACATCGAGGCCCCTCTTGGGTCTTTTCTCCGTCCCCGTCCTCACTCACCCAGCTGACATTTTTCCAATTAATTTCTGTAGCTTCAGTGAGGAAGAAATCACAAATGGTCAATTTCCCGTTTCAGGTGTGCGGCTTGGTATGTTCTGACAGGCGTGTGCAGCCGCGTGACCAGGCCACCGGGACGGGGGTGCAGAGCCCTTCTGTCACCCCGAGGGCCCCTTCTCTGGCCCCGGCCACCCAGGGCCCCTAACCCTGTCTGCTCTCCACAGTTCTGCCTTCTCTGAAATTTCTCACAAACCGTATCACACGTCAGGTCTCACGTTTTCCTCAGCCTCGGGCCATCGCCACCATCCACGATGGTTTTTATCAACACCCCTTTCCTCTTTGTGGCTAAGCAGAACCCCGTTACAGGGGCCCCTGACGCGTCAGTGCCTTCACCAGCAAAGATGTTGGGTTCTTCCCAGTTTGGGAGTAAGCCTTTGATGGACGTGCTTTCCTTCTGGGGGGTAAAAGCCCAGCCCTAAAGGGTCTGGTCATACGGTACATTTTACTTTATAAGTAACAGCCACCGCAGGTGTACGGGGTCTGCGTTCCTAACGGGTGAGACCTCAGTTGTTCCACGTCCTTGCCAACACTTGGTGTTGTCAGTCTTTCAATTTGAGCCATTTTGAAGGGTGTGCAGGGGGACCTCGTGTTAATTTTCTTTCCCTGTGGACTAATGTCTTAGTCAACTCAGGCTGCTATAATAAAATACCAAACTGGGGCTTTCAATAACAGACATTTATTCTCACAGTTCTGCAGGCTGGATGTCCACGTTCAAGGTGTTGGCCCATCTGGCTCCTGGTGAGGACACGCTTCCGGGCACACAGACGGTTGCCTTCTTGCTGAGTCCACACAGGGCGGAGGGAGCACCCTGGTCTCTCTCCTTTCCCTTTGTGGACACTAATCCCATCATGGGCCCCACCCTTGTGACTCATCTACACTTAGCTCCCTGGTGTAGAGCTGGGGGTGGGGGCAGGTGAGGATGGGGGTAAGACACTCAGATGCCAGCTCCAAGGGTTACCCATGCCACTCCCCACAGGACGACCCCTCCGTCCCCCACCCTGGTCTGCCCTACCGCGCGCCGGCCACCTGCCCAAAGCCCTCCCCGAATCCAAGGCTGTGAACCTGTGACAGGCACAGACCCAGCAGATCTCTCCTCCCTGGGGGCTTGGAGCTGGGAGAGCAGGGGAGGAGCCCAGTGCCAGCCCTGGGTGTCCACCTCAGCCCTCCCCTGCCGACCCTCACCCCGTGGACCCCTGCCCGTGTGCCTCCCCCTGGCTGGGTCCCCTTGGAATTCAGCTCCTGGAAGCACCATGCTCATCCCACCCATAAGGACGCTGAGAAACGTGTGCAGGAAGGGTGTGCCTCACTGGAGAGGGTGGCAGAGCCTCCAGGGGCAGAGCAGGGGATGCGCTGAGCCCCAAATCAACCCCAGAGCTCACCAAAGCTGCAGGGGGACCTGGGTCACTCAATACACTGACCCCCATGCCCCCGTGTGACCATGAACTTGGCTTTGGAGCCACATGGGGTTCCTGCCCTGGAGGGAGATCCTGGGGCCCATCGCCCCGAGAGGCAGGTGGGGAGCAGCTGAGTGTGGGGAGGCCTGGGCCTCTGGCCACCAGCCCTAACCCTCGAGAGCCCCTTCTGCTCCCCAAAACCAGGCCCAAGTAAAGGTCAGCATTCTGGGCTGCGGGGATCCTCAGAGGGGAGGCGAGGGCACCATCCACACCCAGCCTGGGGGACAGGGGGACTCATTTACACCAATTTACGCCCCCCCACCCCCGCAGGACTCTAGCAAGTGCCCCAGCCCCCTCCCCTGCCAAAACACACTTGTTAAATAAATGGGCGAGGCCAGAGGTTGCTCCAGAGGGGTCCATTCCCCGTGGGCTCAAAGATATTCAGACCAGAGAGAGCAGGGGGGTCGGCAGGCGGGAAAACAGAGGCCCAGGGCTGGCTGGATGTGGGGGACCCTCTGTAGCTTGGGCGCTGGCTAGCAAAGCAGATCTGGGGGGCAGTGATGGTCAATTTGGGGATGCTGGGGGTTTCCTGGCCGCGTTTTCCTTCAGCTTGTGCTTGCAAAATAGGCTGTAGAGCACCCCCAGCGTGCTCCTGGCGTCCTTGTTCACGATGTCTGTGGGTAGACGTGCCGGCGCCGGCATGAGCAGCCATCCAGGGCCGCCAGGACCACTGCCCAGCCCAGGCCTGCCCACCCAGTCCTCCCTGCACCCTGCCACTCCGGGCAACCCCGCTGCAGGCAGGTGGCAGCCGAGGGCACAGCACCCACGCTATACAGGGGCCTGCCCCGGCACATGGGACCCCAGGCCCCGCACCCCACTCTGCGGGTCACCCAAGGCTGGCTACCTGGGGACTGGATCACGCCCAGGCCCGCCGCACACTCACCTTCGGGGCTGACAGGGTGGCTGAGCAGGCCTTGGTCCTTCAGCAGCTCCAGAGCCAGCGAGACGTTGTGCAGCTGCGGAACAAGGTTCTGTGAGATGCCAGGAACACGGGCCGCCCCTGTGGAACCTGCAAGTGGCTCAGGCCAGCCCGGGGGGGCCCAGGATGCCGCGGGGACCGGCCAGCCCAGGGGGGCAGCCTTGGAATAAACGGCGTGGGGTGAAGCCAGGGTGGTTTGGGAGGTTTGCTACTTGGCATTTCTGTGGCAACAGCTGGCAGAAGAGCCCACTGTGTGGCCACAGCTCCCACCCCACTGCCGCAGATACAGGCCTCAGCCTGGGGGCTGGAGCCTGGCGCAGTCTTCAGGGCAAGAGTACCCCTCCCTGGGTGTGGCGCCCACTCTGCAAGATGACCTCTGCTCCTGGTCCTGGCTCCCCCAGCAGGCTGATGCCCATGAGGCCGCCCGGCGGGGCAGGGGCCGGCCCCCACACCCATGTCACAGAGCAACCACCTGCGCCCTGCCAGACCACAGGCCACTGTGGGCAGGGGTGAGACCAGCGGGCCTGACACCAGCAAGACCTCAGGAAATCGGGGACTACGGGGGCAAGAGGATGGGGGGGTGAGAGGATGGGGGGTCAGAGGGGAGGATGGGCAGGTGAGGGGAGGTGTGGGTAGGTGGGTAGATGGATGGGTGGTGGCTGGACAAGCAGGTGGATGGCAGATAGGTGTGGGTGGCTGGCTGGATGCACGGGGGTGGCTGGGTGGATGGACGGGTGTGGATGGCTGGATGGGCGGGCACGCAGGTGGGTGGGTGGGCGTGCTGGTGATGGGTGGGCAGGAAAGCCAGTGTGCAGAGCGATGCTGGGGGGTTGACAGACTCACAGACAACAAAGCAACCTCCCCTCCCTGTCGCTTCATCTGAAATGAATAAGGCTGGTCTCGCCAGCTCCACCCACCCGCCCACTCAGATGTAAACCTTCGTGGAGAACTCACCTTTTCCGCAGGGGAGCTGGGCGTGAGGTGGAATTCCTTCAAGTGCAGGAAGAAGCCTTCCAGCTGCCCGATCAGCAGGAGGAGGATGACTCCGTCTGCAAACTACACAGCGGGGGCTGGGGCCGGGCAGCTTGGGGGCCCCTGGGAAGTCACACCCCCCTCTCTGAGACCCTGGTGCCTTTTTGAGGTTTGGGGAGCACCCCCCGCTTTGTAAGGCTGGGAACATGGGTGGCGCAGAGAAGAGGCGGCCACGGGCTGCCTGGCATGGCCTGCATCCTCGATGAAACCAGCTGTTTCTAAGTTTCCCGTGGAATAGCCTCCTCCCGTCACGGTGAGCGACGCCCTCGGTGAGCGCCGCGCACGGAGCGCGGTGCAGGTGTGTTCCCCCGGCAAGGAGCGGAGCGGCCGGGTCCGCCGCGGCCGCAGGGACACTGCCGTCTGTGCTCCTGTGTGTTCAGGGGTGAGGCGTCCTGCAGCTGCACCAGCACCCCGCATGCTGATGTAGTCCTACTCAGGCTCTTCACAGACACAAACACCAGATCGGGTCTTGGCAGAAAAACCATCCCTCGAGGCCTTTCCTGGAATTCCCCCCTCTCGGGTCTCCTCTTCTGCGCGGACAGTCCCCGGTAACGGCACCAAAATACCGGGGACATCAATATCCCCTTTGATCCCAGTCTCTAAATACCGGCCCGCGCACCCCATCAGCCTCCAAACGCCATTATTTTATGGGGAGATAAAGATGGAAGACATTGAACGTAAACCTCAGAAACCATCCTGTTTATACCCCCATAAAGTAGATTTTAAAACCACAAATCTATCGCTGACTGTGTTTCGCAGCGTGGAAAGTAACACACTAGGCCCCAGGGGCTCCCTGGGTGTTTATTGCCCACACTCCTGCAGGGTTGGCATCTGGCCCGGAATAGAACAAGAGGGGGCTGGGGCTCGGGGAGCCCCGGCCCCAGGTCACCCGGCTGATGTGGATGTTCTTGGAGTAACACGTGTCCCTGTGGCTTCGGGGGTCTTGCCATCTGCGTGTCACCCCCACCCCAAAGTCACACAGGCTCCTCCTGTGGCCACAGTATGAGGGTGACAAGCACAACACTGGTCCCAGCTGCCTGGGTCCAGATCGCTGTGCGACCTTGGACAGGTTAATGAACCTCTCTGTGCCTCCACATCTTCCTCTGTACGAGAGGGCAGTGCCCGTGCCCACCTCCAGGAGGCGTCAGTGAGCTCGTGTAGGCAAAGCCAGTTGTAGGCCTGGCGCACAGTCAGGGATTTGTTGGTATTAGCTCCCAGGCACGGTCTTTGCCTGCCCTGCCCCTCGATGCTGATGTCCATGGAGGGCTGGAGGGCAGTCCAAGCCCGACTAAAAGGCCATAAACCAGCCGGGCCACCTGGGACGGGACCAGACCTCTGCATGTCGACCACCCTCTGTGTGAGCAGCGCCCAGCTGCCAGATGCCCACACCCCCACATCCGCAGGCTCCACCGCTGCTGAGCCCTGGGGGCACTAGGCTCTCAGCGCCCCTGTTCCCTGTTGAGGGCACACACCGTAGTGTCCCTCGGAAGGCTATGGCCACTGCCCACTGCCGCACACGCAGTGCCAGCCCAGCGATGACCCGGCCCGAGCCAGGCCTGGCGCACGGCCACGCGGGGCACATCCGGGCCCTCAGTGTTGGGAGCTGAGCGTCTACGGTCAACCTGAAACCCGGCAGACAAGTGCTGCTTCACAAGAAGGCAGGACCTCAGCGTCCATGAGCCCTTGGCCAGGTGCTCCCGCGGTCCCCCCATCCTGGGTGGCCTGGGTGGTGAGGCGGTGATGGGGAGGACCCCAGGGCCCGGGCGAGACCCACCCACACCCTGACCGTCCCCTGCCGGGAGCCCCGCAGCTGAGCCCGCACCTGGCTCTCCAGATCCTGCACGGACAGGCCCAGGCGGTCCAGCTTCTGGTTCACGAAGTCAATGATGGCCTGTCGGAGGGAAACAAGGAGCCCGATGGTTGGGTTGGGGGCTCCTTGCTGGGGTGACAGAAAGGCCCTCGCACAGCACCCCACAAAGAGCAGGTCTGGAGAAGGGCCCGCTTTCTGCCTCTTTGTCCCCCAAGACACAATGCCTGTGGGAGGGGGGTACAGGGGTGGGAGGTGGGGCTGGGGGAGGGGCTGGAGGGTGAGGTGGCAGGGGTGGGGGGCGAGAGGGTGGAAGGTGGGGGTGGGGGGGTGGGGCTGGGTGGTAGATAGTGGGGTCTGGAGAGTCTCTGGGGCTTGCATGGATCCTCCTACCTCTTTCAAGGCGCTCACTTTCTCTGGAGGCAGCGTAAATAATCCATCAAAGGGGTCCTCTGCAGACAGAGCCGATAAACACCTCGTTACCTCGCTATTATCTCTGTGCCAGACAGGGGCTTGGATTCCCGCAGAAGCTTCTCAGGGTAAGCAGCCCTGAGGGCGCTGCTGTTCCTCGCCATGCTTTGGAGTGAAAGCAGGGCCGGTGGGTCCCCCACCCCTGCCGTGGGGCCCCAGAGCAGCTGCCCCCTCTGGGCCTGGTCTCCTCTTCCAGAGGCAGATGGTGCCCCCTGGGTGGGGTCAGAAGCAGATAACACGCTAGGCCAGGGGCTGGGCGCACAGTAGGGCTCCTGTAAGCGCTGCCCTTTCTACAGTGTGCGCTGCAGCTGTGTCCACTGCGCTGCCAGCGCTGCCTCTGGACGCCCCGTCGCTCAGAAAGGCGAGTCCAGAGCTTCCCCGCGGAGCCCGTTCCCTGGCCGGCCCCAAAGATCCCTGGCCACCCGCAGCTCAGTGTGGCCGCTGGTCGGGATCCCCTGCCCACTTGAGCCGCGTCGGAGGCCAACGGCCGCGCCCGCGCACGGACAGACAGAGGGCGGACAGATGGACGAGGAGGAGGCCTGGTTCACAAACAGGGTGGGCAGCCCCGAGGGAGCTGCCGTTTCTCGCCAAGCTTTGGCATGAAGGCAGCGCCCGGTCCGCCCCCTCCCCTGCTGCGCGGCCCCAGAGCTTCGTCGGGACAGCCCCGGGGACCCCACCGTGACCGCCACGCGAGCCCAACACAGATTCGCTTGGTTGGGAACACACTCACCTGAAGGCTGGGCCTTTTCTGAGCTGAAGGGCGGGCTGCGCGGGGAAGGGCGACCGGGAGGTTAAAAAGTAGCTTCGGACGCTGCTCCCCGCTGCCGAGGCCGGCCTGGCCGGGGCTGAGAGCGGCTGCTCCTGTTCTCCTGGCAGCTTTGCACGCAGGCTGCCCCCCGCCCCCCACCAAGCAAAGGGCAGAGGAGGCTCAGACCCGCCCCTGAGGCCCCCACACCTAGAAAAGTCTGGGGGCTGTTTTTGTGCTGTTCGTGGGGAGGGGACGGCTCCAGGCCTCACCATAAAACGCTCAAATCCCAAACTGACAGCGCGTGCACTTTCCAATCTCCACCCCTGCGGGGTCACCACGCCCAACAAGCAAGGCACAGAACCCTCCTGCACCCAGGAGGGCACGCCCCTTGAACACCCCTGAACTTGACTGTTGGGTCCCCTGGCGTCACCGCTCTGGGGCCCGGGGGGCGCACGCGGGCTCCCACGCCGACTCTGGTGCCGCACTTCTTTCTCCCATTTTTTCTCTCCAAATTTTGCTAAATTCTCTGCCCCAGCTCTGCCCCCTAGACACGAGGTTCTGGGCCCAAAGGGGCTCAGGTCTTTGGGGAGCAGACCCTCTGACCGAGGCCTCTGTCAAGCCAGCTGGGTGGGAGAGCCCCGGGCTCAGGGTAGAGGCTCGGGGTGCCTGTGCAGCCCAGGCTCCCGCCAGGTGAGGCGCACGGGGTGCTGACCTCGTGGAGGGGCAGAGAAGGGGGGCCCGTGAGCCCCGACAGCACCCCCTGCTCAAGGTCCCCAAACTCATTCTCAGACCCTGAAGCTTCAGCATCTGTGGAGCCAGCTCCGAGGTGCTCAGCGGCTGGGGGCCGGGGCCACCTAGCCTGAGTCCAGAGGGGACCGAGCTTCCTCTGGGGTGACCTGTGGGAGGGCCAGCAGGATCCCCTTCGCCAGGCTCAGCTCACATGCTTAGGGCGGGGTCCTCTCTTACACTCACAGAACTCTGAGCCCCACCGCCTCACCCCAGGCGCCCCCAGTTCTGCCTGTTTGGTTGGGTTAAGCTGGAGCCCTTTCTTGTGAGGGGGAGGAAGGGTCTCGGCTGCTGAGGGGGTGCTGAGGGGGCAGCAGAGTGGGGGGCCCCTCCCGCCCAAGTCGCAGGGTGCCCGGATCAGGCCCCGCCCACGCTGCCCGCCTCACCCGCGTGCGGTCAGTTGCTCCGCCGACTTCTCTGTCTTGAGGCCACTCTTGGTGCTCTGAGAGGCAGAGGGAAGAACTTGAGCAAGCCCAGGGGGCCGGAGCCTCCGCTGGAAGACCAGACCGCAGGCCCAGAGGCTCGAAGGACAGTTCACCCAGCTCACCCGCCTCGGGACAGCCTCGGTGCGGCGGCATCCCATGGACGCTGAGGCCCAAGGGGACAGGGACTGGATCTGCCCTATTCCCCAGACACCCCCACCCCGTGCCCGGCTCACGGGGCCAAAGGGGAAGTGTGGGTCTGAGTAAAGATGGGTGTGTGGGTGGGCGGCCGGATGGAGGGTGGATCGATGAGTGAAGGAGTGAAGTCACCTCTGATTAAGAGGCCACCCGCTGAGTTAGGGGCACTGGTGAGCCCCCCGCCTCCTCGACGCTCCACCGCACCCCGCCCCACTCTCGTGCAGCACCCACTGCTGCCCCGCCGCTCTCTGATGTTTCCAGCCGCTCCCTAGAACATACCCTGGTTCAACCATGACCCACGAGCACCCCCAATCCAGAGCACCAGAGCAGACCCCACACGCTCAGCGCGTGCCACCCCCCGCCCCGGCCTCACCTCCATGGTGATCACCTCCACCTGCACGTTGGCCGGGAGGGCCAGGTCGGGCTGGAAGTGCCTGGCCAGGGCCACGAGGAGGTGCAGGGTGGCCAGCAGGTCCTTGCTGAAGATGGCTGGGGAGAGGGGCGCAGGGTCAGAGGCGAGGTGCCCCCAAATCTGCGGCCGTGGCGAGACCGAGGAGGATGTGTGTGCACGCTGCACGCTCTGCTGAGCAGAGGCCTGGGGTCCGTTTCCAGAGCCTGAAGCAGCAGCCCTCTGCCGCCGTCATCCCGTTTCTGCCACCGCGGCCCCAGGCGCAGGCCGGGCGGGCAGGGCTTAGACAGCAGACGGTCTCGCCATGCGGGGATGACTGCCCGCCCAGGGGGGCTGGCTGAACGCAGCTTCACTCGGGGCGAGCCACCCAAACATCGCTGCTCAGCGTGAGACTAGGCAGTGGTGACCAGAGCGGCAGACCCCACGGCCCCTGTCCCACCCACCGGGGGCTGCTTCCCTCCTGCAGCCCCCGCTCTCTCCTCGGAGACGGGGAGACTGGAGTGGGGGGACTCACAGCCGACGCTGCGGGTGGGCTGGGGTCTCCTGGGTTTTGTCGGCTGAGCCCACCTAGATAAATACTGAGGTGGCGCAGTCAGCGCCCATGGACCGGCGGGACACGCCCTGCCCCTGCACTGTTGGCTGCAGGACACCCCCGGGCACAGACGTGGAGGCTAAGGATGCCCCCATGGGGTCTTGGCGTCCCCCCGACATCCCAGAGTGGCCCACGCACCCTCCATGCTCCACCGGGCCTTCTGCTCCTCCACCCCCAGACTCCCGTTGATGGCCGTCAGCACCTGCTCCAGCTTGCGCCTCTGGCTCCCGGCGGTCAGGGCAATAGCCTCCACCTCCAGCTTGCACCCCGCCAGCTTCTCTGGGGCGGGAGGGGCAGAGGAGAGAGGTGAAGGGGCGGAGGAGGCCATGAGAGGATGGAGAGCAACAGAGCCCCTGGGGGGACCCACCCCGTGCTCCCCTCCCTGCAGGCACCCACCGCACCTCGGCAGTAAGCAGGCACACAGGCCGCGGACCGGAGCCCAGCTGCTGCGCTGCCCGCCTCGGGCCTGGAGCTCCCCGAGTCCCCACACGTCACTTGTGCAGGCCAGCGCGGCCCAGTGGCCCAAGCCCCGGCGCCCAGCCCTGAGCGCTGCCTGCCCACTTGCCCCACCGTGACCCCTGGCCCGCTGCCGGCCTCTCGGAGCCGCCGTCGCCCCTTCTGTATAGCAGGGCCTGACGGTCGGCCTGTCTGGGGCTGACAATACCAGCCGTGGCCCCGAGGACGCCTGCAGCAGCCCCGAGGGGGAGCCCCCTGACGTGGGGTTTCCAGATGAGATTGGGGACCCTCGTCCAGCTGCCTGGCCACCCCCCACAGCATGGCCTCTTTGCTCCCAGCAGTCCGAGGAAAACGCCGTTTCTTGATTCTCTCCAGCAGCCTGCTAACCGCAGAGCCTCCGGAAATGCCCCGAGGCCTGTGGAGGTGGGCGTCCAGGCAAGAGGACCGTGCCCGGAGCTCAGCAGGGCTGGGACGAGGGGAGCAAGGCGGTGGAGGGAACAGGTGGGGGCGGCTGAGGCAGCGGCAGCCCCAGGAGCAGCTCCTTACGGTAAAGGTGTTGCAGGATGAGCCCGTCAAACATGTCCTGCTCCAGGCTGCGGACCACGATGTGCTCGGGGTGGAGCTGGCTGTTGATCCACCCCATCAGCACCTGCGGGCCCCAAGAGCAGACCCCGGGGTTACTTCTCGCCCAGCTTGCCCTTGGCTCTGCCCTCGGCTTGGAACGCCCTCCCCCACCGGCCAACTCCTGCCCATTCTTCAAGGCCAGGTCAAAAATCACCTCCTCCAGGAGGCCCTCCCTGATCTCCCAGGCCCTCCCTGATCTCCCAGAGTTAGGTGCCTGCTCTGGGCTCCCGAAGACCCTCTGATATATCCACCACAGGGGGCAACACCATGGGCTGTTTGTCCCACGTGAGGTTTCGGAGCCAGAGAGTCTGGTGCCCCCCAGCCGCAGACTTTACTGCTGCAGGCACACTGGCTGCCTCCCTCCCCCAGCAGGTCTGCCTGAGGGCTGTCCCCAGAGGCCAGTCCCGCCCGACTGCTCAGCTGGCCAGAGTGGATGAGGAGCGGTGCCCCAAGGGGCAGCACAGGAGGGGGTGAGCCCGTTCTGCACAGCAGGGGGTGTCTAGCAGCACCCAGCGGGCAGGAGGTGCCGCCACTGACACCCACTCCGTCACCCGCCTGGGTAGCTCCTGCTCCCCACCCACTGCCATCACCTCCCAACTCAGCTAGATGCACCCACATCCTTGTCTCAGGCTCAGCTCAGAGGACCCCAAATACGGAGGTGAGTCAGCACCCTGCTGGGCCTCCTGGGGGGCTGTGCTGGTTCTGCTGTCCCAGGCGCCCTGGTGGGAATGGGGTGGGGGGAGAAAGGAAGGGGAAGGAGAAAGGGAGGAGCAGAAAACGCCACAGAACCTCTGGGCGTGGAAAGTGCTGCAGGCCGGGAAGTCTCCCTGGAGGAGGCAACAGAACGCCCACATGGAGATGAGGGAAGTGGGCGCCCACCGTCGCCCGGGGTAGCAGAGGGGGAGGAGGGGCACTGCACTGGGGCCCACAGCTGAGGTCAAAGCCCAGCTCTGTTGCTGGCCAGCCAGATGCCCCCCGCAGGCCAGGTCACCTATCTGAGCCTCGCCATCGGCCCCCCGGGAAGCGGGTGACAACAGAACCCTCTGAGCTGCCCGGGGATTTGATGGGCTCGTGTGCATAAAGGCACACAGTAGGTGCTCAGCAATTGCTCCTTCATGCAGCCCCTCGACAGGCCTCCAGGGGCCTTCAGAGTCACCGCTCCTGCCTGGGGTGAGGGAGGAGTGGCTGCCGCTGTCCCCCCAGGAAGCCAGAGCGGTCAGAGGAGGCTGCCTCACCTTCTGCAGCTCTTTGAACTTGGGGTCCTCACGGGAGGTGCGCGGCAGGCATTTCCTCCTTTCTCCTGGAAGCGGGGTGAGTGTGACACACGTGTGAGGGCCCTGCAGGTCGCCCACAGAGCTGGCACCTCAACCGCCAGGGGAGTTTGGTCCTGCAGGCCCACCACACACATGGGCACGCTGACACACGCCTGCACATGCATGCACACCTGCACACACACGTGCACGCAGACACCCTGAGCACCAAACGTCCAGGATGACCGGTTTCCGGGCACCTCCTCCCCACCTCCTTCCGTTCGCCCAGGCTGTTCCGCCTTCCCTCACGCCCCTCCTGAGACCAGCTCATCCTCAGACGCTGCCTCTGACTCTGGGGACGCGCGGAACTCAAACATCGTATCTCGTGTCTGTGAAAGTCCCGTTTAACCGGAGGCCTCGTCTCACGTGGCAACGCGGCCACTGACGGGCTGGCCGGGCTCAGCCGCGCCCGGTCTCTGTGCTGCCCGGGCTGGGCCTGGAGGGCACCGCGTCTGTGGCTCCTGGGGGGCAGACACCCCCAAGACCGGCTGGCCGGCTCCCCGAGCCTGGCTCCCACCCCCAGGCCCCTGGCGAGAGCCCCCCGTGGGTTAGACTCATGGGGCCCCCACGAGAAGGGCCTGCAGAATGGCCCGGGCCCAGAGGCCACGGGACCCGGAGCCACCACAGGCCCACGGCACGCCGAGCAGCTCCCTGAGCGGGAGGGGTGCGGGCGGGCCCCCGCCGGCCGGAGTGAATGAAGTAGGACTAAGGGACACGGCCATGCAGGCCCCCGCCTTCCGGGGCTGCCTCCCTGACACTCCCGGCCCCGCGCCCTCCACCCCGCCCCAGGGGGCTTCAGCCTTGGCGCCGACTTCGCAAGGCTGCGTTCACGCAGCTGGAGGGACGCGCACTCTGCGCACACTCGGTCTCGCTCACGTCCTCTCCGTCACCGCGTTCACGTTCCCACCTTGCCCACGTCCCGGGGCGGTGGCGTGGCCCTGGCCGACGGGCTGCGGGCTGCCGCCGGCGCTCTGCGGCCGCTGCCCCTCCTTCCATCACCTCCTCGGAGACTTCAGGGGCAGTGGGCACAGGCCCCCGAGCCCAGAAGACAGAGGCCTGCTGAAGGGCCACGCTCACGGGGTGGCTCTGATCCAAGACTCCCCATTTTTAAAAAGACTCGCCCGCCGCAGGGGGCAGAGGGACGGACACCCCTCCCGCCTGCTCGACGGCGGGGACCTGGGCTCCCTGGGATTCCAGCACCGCCCCTTCCCAGCAGGCACCTGCGACTCTGCCTCAGTTTCCTCCCTGGCGTAAAGGAGCCGTGACGCCCACTGCCCGCAGGAAGGGCTCAGCAACGCGCCATTGTCGGCGCCCAGAGCCCCACCCTCGGCCTGGAGATGGTGGGCGGGAGGGTATGGCGATGACTGCAGAAGATTCCAGAGTGGGCAGGGGAGTATACGCAGGAGGCCCCAGCGGGGCGGCACAGAACCCCGTCCAGCTTGGACAGCACTGCAGTGCCGGTGCGGCCCACGCGGTCCCTGCGTCGCCCCCGCCCTGACCCCCGGCCCCCGCCCTGGTTGTGGCACCTTGCGGGAGCTCGGCCGGGCGGCCTGCCTCCTTCGGGAGCTGCAGCAGGTTGTAGAGGGACTCCAGCTCCATGGTCTCCCGCCGGCCCTGGGGGCAGGACAGAAGGTCAGAGGGCGTCGCCGTCCCAGCCGCCCCGGCTCACTCTGCGTGTGGGTCTCCGGACCAGGAGGCAGCGCGGCAGCCAAGGTGGACGTGTCACCCGCCGGGCAGGGGCCCATGAGAAGCTGGTCCTTGCGGGGGGCAGGTCAGTCTCCGGGCACGGCCAGGACGCAGGGTTGATGGGTGCAGAGGGGTCGGCCCTGGGGCCGTCAGGGCAGGGAGGGGTCCACTGCTCAACTGGGTCAGATCCAGGAAACACTTGGCGGGGCTCAAGGGGGTCAGGGTGAGCCTGTGGGGCGCCTGGTGGGGCCGGCTGGGGGCACATGGATGGACATCTACAGACCGTGAGTTCCTGTGGGGTGGCGCCAGGGCCGCCCCCTCCAGGCCCCTGAGCCGGAGACAGGCTGGCCCCGACCGGCACCTGCGGGGCAACATCCCCAGGACCTGTCCCACGTGGCACAGACCTGGCTCTGAGGGAGGCTTGGCCCCCAACTACGAGGCCCTGTACTGGGGGCCTCGGGGGTTCTCACAGCCCTGTCGGCCAGGGCGGGGCAGCCTTTGCAGAATGGACACTTCCCTGTCCTCATTCTGGGCAGGAGGCTGCTCGCCCGGCCTGGGCCTCCTTCCTGTTCCCCACACTCACTTCCGTCCTGCCCGCTGGCAGCCTGGCCCCCCCAACCCCACCTTCTCTCCAGCCCCTTGCCTTCCAAAATGGACCCCGGGGAGGCCGGTGGGGCTGTCCCCCTGGGGTCATCCCCCCAGGGAGGCCTGCAGCTGGGGGGAGTGGGGGGCTGGAGCCTCCCCATCGCCCATCTCACTGGCAGCCAGGCTGGGGGCCCCCGGGTGCCACCTGGGCCTCCTTCACACCCTGAAGAGGGTGGTGGGGAGGACACGGGTGCAGACAGAACGCCCGGGTTCCAAGTCCCCTTTGTGACCCCAGGATTCGGGCTGTCTGAGAGCTGTGGCCACAGGCGGGAAAGCCGGGCCCTGCGGTTAGCAGCTCTGGGCCCCTCCCTGTTCCCGCTCTGCGCCTCCACGAGCCCTGCCCTCTCTGGTGCGATGCTTCTTCGCAAGTCGGAGCTGCCCTCCCTGCCGCCCTCAGCAGCCCCAGGGAGCCCCTGGCCTGCCTTCCCTCCCGGGGGCCTCTGCATGTTCACCTTATGATGGGGGCCTCGGAGGAGCTCGGGGAGTAGCCGGTGGAGCGGTGGGGTGGGCTCACCTGTCTCCAAGTGAGGGGTCCGGGGCTGTCTGGGGCCCTGGGGAGGAAGGGCCGCCTCTAAGATGGTGCACAGGGTGCAGGCGGCTCTTCAGCCCATGCCCTGCTCCCTGGGGGCTCGGTCTCCCTGCGCCCCAGGGCTCACCCCGTAAGCTCCCCTCCCAGGGGTACCGCCGCCCCGAGCCAGGCTCCCGGGGGCCGGGATGCAGAGGACTCACCTGCGCCTTCCTCCACGCAGGGGATGGGACGGAGGCAAACGGCAAGCGCGGGCCCCAGCGAGAGCGGTTCCGGTTCCCTCGCCCGCCAGGGGTGGCAGGCCCCAGGCTGCTCACTTCCTCTGGGCCTGCGGCTTCGGCAGGGCCTCTGGGCTGTGTCTGCAGGCGGCGTCCCCGGGGCCAGGGCCCGGTGACTGGGACACGAGGACCACCAGCCGGCCGGAGCCGACCGCCAGCCACACCCCCCCGACCCCAGGTGTCCTGCGGGCAACTCGAGCTGAGTATTTCTTCTCCCCGATCCCCTCCAGAGCAAGCCAGATCCTCCCCAGCCCCGCGGTCTCACAGGCGCCTCCTAGCTGGACCCCCGCTGCCAGCTCGGCTCACACTGCACCCTGAATTGCTCTCCACAAGAACCAGGGGGCCCTCTTCACACCCCAGCTCCGTTGAAGCCCCCCAAGGTGCCGACAGCTCACAGAATCGAATGCAGACATCCCAGCCGCCCTGTGTCTGGGGCGGGACCCTCCCGGTGTGGGACCCTCCTCGGGGCTCCACGCCCACCCTCCCCACCTGGTGCCACGTCCCTGCTCCGGGTCTTCACACCTACTAGACCCCTCCAGAGTATGCCAGTTGGGGGGTCCCGGGGTGCTCCTCAGTCTGCCCACTAACAGTAGGCCTTGCCTGTGACTCCTCAGCATTCAGCAAATTCTACCTGAAATCGGGGGGCTCAATGTGGGCTCTGCCCCCCTCCCCTGCACATCGTGGCGGGCCAGGGCTGCCCACTGGGGACGGAGCTGAGGCTCTGCTCTCCTCACCCCCGCCTGGGTTGCTCCCTCCCGCGCCCCCGGCCCCTGGGAGGGGCGCCCCCCACCCCCCGCGGCCAGGCAGGTGGACGGGCCTCGCGGCGGCAGGTGGCTGCGGTGGCGCCGTACCGGGGGCTGCTGTGATGTCCCCGCCCTGGCTGTTTTGTCGCGGCGCCTCTTAATGTCACTGCCTCCCGCAGGAGCCTCCGTAATGCCGTTTTAATTACTTCTCTCCCCGCCGGGAAACCACCTCCATCAGGCGGCTACTGCGAGCCCGTGCCCGTCTGCGCGCAGCGCGTGGAGAATGAATATTAAACTGTTTTCCAGAACTTGGGCGCTGGCGCTCCGGCTAACAGGAGCCCCGGGCCGCAGCTCTGACGGCGGCAGCGGGGGGAGAATCCCGGCGACGGAAGGGTGGGCCTGCTGGGGGCGGGCGCCCTGGGGAGGCAAGGGCAGATGGGGGTCCGCGAGTCCGGAGCCCCCGCGCAGCAGCAGGGGTGGGGCAGCCCGTGTCAGGGGCAGGACCGCTGGGTCCCGGAGTCAGCCCGGAGGACCCAGGCGCGGGGATCCTCCTTCGTCTCCTGAGCCAAAGTGGCTCATGAACCGGTGACCAGCCCCGCCTCATGGGGCCCCGACCCGGACACGCCGGGCCCGGGAGGAGAGAGGAACACGCCCCTCCCCCGCCGCTGCAGCTGGACTGTCCCCCACCCCAGACGCCGAGGTCCCGTGCACAGCCCCTCCTCCGTCACTGCATGTGGAGCGCGGGTCTCTGGGGGGTGGGGCTGCTGTCCTTGCAGAGGAGGGGCCGCAGACATGCCCAGAGGGACGGCCGCCCACCCGCAGACCCTGGGTGGGCACGGCGGCGCGGCTGTTGCACCCAGGAGAGGCCAGACTGTCTCCGCACCTCGGCCTGGGGCTCGGCCTCGGGAGCCGGGACGGGCGGGTCTGCGGGGCAGGCCCAGGGCAGCACGGCCAGAGCAAAGCGCACCCGCCTGGCTAGAGGCCCCGGAGGCACGTCCCTCTGGAGCAGAGCCCGGGACAGGCCCTGGCCCGCGTCCCAAGCCCCACCAGGGCCAGCTCCGGGCCCAGACTGTAACGGGGGTCCCCGAGGAGGGGAGGTCCAGGGTCCCTGCCCCGCCCAAGGAGGGGCACAGTGGGGCAGGGAGAAGCTGGAGACGGGGAGGAGACCTGGAGGGGACACGCGGCGCAGAGGCGGGGGAAGAAGCTACGCTGGCGTCTTGGGCCTGGATTGGCCCCAGGGCCCCGGGGACAAGGGGGGACACTCGGAGGAGACCCAGGGTGAGAGACCCGGGGGAGGCGGCCATGGTGCCTTTACCTTGGATGCCACTTTTGCTCCTTTTCCCCCAGACTCGCCCGGCCTCCCTGCCCTGCCCTGGGCCCCACCAGAAGGTGCCTTAGACGTGGGGCAGCTTTCGGGCCTTGGGGACGCTGCTCTGGGCCCATCTGGCCGGACATTTACCCACGAGGGGACGGGAGACTTCGGGTGTTTAATTGGAAACTATTTTAACTCTATTCTTTCTCTTCTCTCCCTGCACACTAGCTGTGTTACTTCCTATTGGGGATCGTGCACACTAGAGTGTCTTGATGTGGCGGACGGCAGACCCCACTCACAGGGAGGCCCCGGGTCCGGGGGCGCCCCTCTGCCCTGTAACAGGCCACTCGGCCCTCGCCGAGAAGAGCCCCGCTCAGCAAATCCTTCCTCCCGCGGGCTGAGGCCGCTGGGCTGCCCCGGGGCTCAGATGTTTGCGGGCGGCTAAGTGGAAGCAGCTCCGAGCAGCTGGGCAGAAGGGGAGCGTGGGCGGACAGCCCTCCCCACCGGGAAGCTTCCGGGACATTACAGTGAAGTTGTCAAAACTGCAAAACACTTTATTTAAAAGACCTCATTTCCCAGGACACCCCGCCAGGGCAGAGCAGCTGGGGAGGGAGGCTGGGGAGGCAGGTGCCGGCCAGGCCCCACCAGGCCCTCCCAAGGCGCGGCTGGCGCTGACCCCCGTCAGCCTCCCACAGCGCCAGGGCCAGAGCCTGCGTTCCCGAGACCCCACCCACCCCCGAACTGCGCAAAGAGGAGGTGCAGAGCAACAGCCAGACAAGAGGGGAGGGTGGGGCCGGCGGGGTGGGCTCGGCGGGGAGCAGCACCTCCCTGGGCTCAGGTGCAGTCACGCCCGCCAGAGTGCCGGTTCCCCGGCGGCTCCTGGTCACTCCATGTTCTTGTATTTGGTGAACAGGTTGTAGAGAACCCGCAGGGTGGATTTGAGGTCGAGGTTCACCACGTCTGCGGAAGGAAGCAGAGAAGCTGTTGACGGCGCCAAGAGCTTACCCAGCCCTGCCCGGCACAGGGCGCCCGGGACATCTGCGGGGACACAGCCAGCGCTTCTGGGCCAAGCCCACGGCCACTTCATCCAGGACCCCCAGACAGTGCGGTCCCAGACGCAGGCTGACCTTGCAGGGACGAGCCCCAGGCGGCCAGGACAGGGAGACCCCTCCATCACGTCTAGCATCTACACTGGACAGGCCCGGGTGGGGGGGGGTCATTTACCAGCGGCCAAACACCGACAGGTCAGCCTCCCACCTCAGGCCGGGCACTGGCATCCTGGTGCTGCCATGCAGAATACTAAGGAGGCCCAGTCAGTCTGGCCACCGTGTTGGGCGGGAGGGTCCTGTCCTCCTGGGACGGGGGCACCTGGTTCTCCCATTTGCCCTGGGACCTCAGAAAGTGAGCTCCCTGCTCTGGGAAACGGGCCTTGGAGCAGCCAGAGGCCGCCAAAGCCTCCGTGCTCCGACCCCGCGGCCCAGGACATGGGGAGACCCCGGGCCCTCACACGCCACTAGCACCGCGGAGGAGGCGCCTGCTGGGGAGAGGCTGCGCGGAGGGAAGATGAGCAAGGAGCCTCCACGCCGGCCCCAGAGGCCCCCACTCCAGTCTTTCCCAGTCCGAGAGGATGACAGCGGCCCAGCCCCCTCCTTCATTCCCATTTTGCAAAGGAGACGTCCCAGGCTCCCCGGAGAGAAGTGGTTCGCCCCCAGTTTGCCCTCGGGGGTAAAATCAGAACCTGAACTCTGGGCAGCAGATCTGGAGGCAGCGGGGAGGGAGGCCGGTGCCCCCAGCCGGAGGGAAAGCAGGCTTTAGGGCCTCTGTGCTCAGCAGGGCTGGGAGGGGCCGGTGGAGGGGCTGCCCCCGGCTCCCTGGCCTGGGGGGCGGAGGGGCTGAGACCGTGTAGGTCACGACCCTGCCCTGGAGAGCCCAGTGGTCAACTGGGAGTTCAGTGCCAAGGGCAGGTCCAGGTGACCAGAGGGACACCCAGCCCACCTGGGAGGGACTGAGCAAGAGTTCCCATGGGGGTGAGTCTACTGATGTCCCCCAGGATGTGGTGTGGAGGATGATGGGGGCTCCTTCCAGAACTCCCCCAGCCTGCGAGGCCCGGTCTTAGCCCCTCCGTGCCCCGACTCTCCCACACCTGGGTCAGGGCATTACCTTCGGGGCGAGCCTTGGGTTTCTTGAGGCCCCCGTCCAGCATCAGCTCGAAGGCAAAGGACACGTTGTGGACCTGCCGAGGAAGCAGGAGTCAGCGCCGCCCGGTTCCCTGTGGTGGCCCTGGGTTCCTCCCGAAGGGGTAGGCAGGCAGGCATGGGAAGACGAGCCTCTGCAGGGCCATGACCACTGTCCAGGGGCCGGGCGCCAGGGGCAGAGGGCGGAGGGATGGGGCAGGTGTGCCCAGTGCATCGGGTCATGACCCGGCCTTTCCCCCAGCAGCACCTGCGCCTCCTCCCACCGCCACCAGCCTGACCGTCCACTTCGCACGACAGGCTTGGGACTGACCCAGAGGGGGACACACAGCCTGGCCAGGACGGGGAGCAAGGCGGAGACAGGTTCAGAGAGCGCGTTCGCCCCAACGCCAAACCCGTCAGTCCACCAAGGGCGTCCCCACGGCTCTCTGCCGGCCACGCACACGTGCCCATTGCGGACCCCACGGGAACACGGCGCCGCGGTGGCTCCTTGCTTTCCTGGGGGTCACTCTAACTGCAGCGCCATTTGGTGGGTGGTTTTAGTTTCTGAAAGACGCACTTAGACCCCAGAACGAGCTGTCGGAGACAGTCCCCGCAGCCCGTCACCCAGCACCCGGGCCCTGTGGGGCGCAGCCGCACACGCACCTTCTGGTCGAAGCTGTCAGGGGTCAGGTAGAAGTTATGCAGCGGGACGAAGTAGTCTTCCAGGAGGCCCATGAGCAGGACCAGGTACACGCCATCTGCAAACTGGAGACACAGAGACGCCGGAGTTGGGGAGTGGGCTCGCCCGCCCCAGAGGGGGCAATTGGGGAGCCGTCCACCCTGCATTCACGGGAGAGCCGGCGGAGGGCGGGGTCCTCAGTGCCACACAGGGGGACGTGTACATGGCTGGAGCTGGAGGGCGGCTGCTGGACAGTCGGCAGCTCTGGTACCACGCAGCTCGGCCATGGTCTGGTCCCCCCACTGCTGACATGGGGAGAACACCGGCCCCATCTGCAGGGAGGGTGGGGAACACCCTGCACATGGGGGCCCGAGCCCCTGCAGGCTGCCCCTGCTCTGGTGTGGGTTCTGCTCCTTGACCTGGTCACCGGCCGTGCTCGCAGAGGGTGGATGAGACCCGCCAGGTTCCCCCGCTTGGCATGAGGCTCTGTGGGTGCCGCACTCTGAGCATCCCCCTCCAGGGATGGGGTGTCCATGGGGAAAGCCCTGCAGGCTACAGCTTGTAGCGCACCCCTCCCATACCCAGCACCAACCCGCCCCCAGGAGGAGTCAGAACCAGCAGAGGAAACAGCTCTTCTGCAGACCAGACCCTGGGGCGCGGCGGGCAGCGTGACTGGCCGAGGGGAGGAGAACAAGGTGCGGAGGCCCCTAGGTGGTGCCCGGGGAGGACACCCTGGCTCGGGGCCCTGCAGCAGAGGGTTGTGGGGACCGGCCCTGGGGTCCGGAGCTGCACTGCCCAGTGCCGCCACTGGCCCCGGTCCCTATTTAGTTATTGTTTTAAACACTGGTCTTGGCTGTCCCTGACTGAGTCTTTCCTGTGGCTCCATCACATACAAATGAAACCAACTGTTTCAACCATTTTCAAGTGCGCAGTTGACGCAGGTTAAGCACAAGCACAGGCTCTCCGGAGTGCCTAGATGTTTTAAACATTAAAATACAAAACTCAGCCCCCATCACACTGGCCACATTTGCCGGTGGCTATGGGCTCACACGGTGCAGAGACAGACCACTTCCACCGTTCCAGAAAGCTCTTCGGTTCAGCTCCGGCCCAGAAGATTGTCACAGCCAACAAACGGACCAAGTGAGGGCTGAACCCCAGGGGTTCTCCAGCTCCCTGACACAGAGGCCCGGGTGGCGAAGAGAGAGCTTGCAGGAAGGGGACATTTTCATTAAAAACAGCAGCTCCCCGTTGGCCACTGAGGCCCCGACTTCAGGATGGAAAGTCAAAAGCACAAGTGTCCAGCACGGCAAAGCCCTGTCCTGGAAGGGCACGGAGGGGGAGCTGAGGAACGAAGCCAGGAACAGAGGGGAGCAGAGGAGCATGGCCACGTCTCCCCGGGGCCTCCCCAGGCGGCTGCCAGGGCCCCACTTAGCATGACCTTTAACCCGCACGTCACACCTATGCCTCGACACTGAAGAAAACACGTTCTGAGCACCTTTGGAGGCCAGGGGCGTCTCTGCAGCCAAGTGCGCCGGGTGCACTGGTTTCAGCCGACAACATCTAGCCAGCTGGGGGGGGGGGGCAGGGATCCCTGGCAGAACCCCCCAGGAGGAGCCAGCACACCCAAGCAAAATGGCTCTCTGGCCTCCACTGACCCGTGGCCAAAGCTCCCAAAGTTGCCCCTAAGGCCCCACTCACCTCACCTGCCCGAGTACAGGCTGCAGGCGGAGGGCACACCTGCAGGCAGGCTCAGGCAGGCGGGGGCAGCTCCCTGCAGAAAGGAAGGCACAGGGAGGGAGGGGTGCCAGAAGGTGGGGGCTGGGCTGAGAGGGGGTGTGGAGTGGCATGGCAGCAGAAGAGGGGTCCCCGCCATTTCTCTCATGCAGGAACAGGGGTCCCGAGACAGACCCTGTGCATCTGCATCCCCCAGAGGCCCCGAGGAGGCCTGTGATGCCAGCGTCGCTGTCCACCATCAACACTTGATCTGCATTGTGCTTGATCTGCATTGTGCTCACAGCACCCCGTCTCCAGTTTGGGAGCGGGTCAGCGGGGTTGAGTGACTGGCTCAAGGTCACACAGCAGAGAAGGTGCCCAGAATACAAAAGCAGATTCAAACAGGAGGGAAAACACAGAGATGCGCGCGCGTGCCTCTGACTTCAGTGATGAACATAGTTGAAAAAATACCCAGATTCCTTCCTTTGTAACAACAGAAAGCAAAGTTTCTGCATTTCTGTGGCCTGGGGTGTTCCTGGTGGGGCAGCGGTTAAAGTGCTTCTCAGACACGACCACAGCGTGCACGGGACAGGGCCCTAGAGCGCGGGCGGAGGCCATCGCGGATGGCGCTCGGGGCAGGGTGCGGCGCCTGTGGGTGACGGGCAAGACCTGCCGGCTGGGCAGAGTCCCCAGGAGCAGGGAACGAGCACCCCGAGACTGGCTTCACCAAGGGCAGTGCAGCCTCGGAAGGCAGCTGTGGCAGGTGGGGGCAGCCCTACAGCAGAGAGGGCCAGACGGGGCGCCCCCGCGCAGAGGCACCCACACACACTCAGGGCACGACATCTCGGAGCCGCCGTGCCACGGGACCCCCCACCGGGTAAGGGACAGGTGTGTGCACCTGACACAGCCAGAAAACACACCTCAGCCTCTTACCGGGTCGGGCTTCCCTGGAGAGGCCGAGGGGAAGGCTGTGGGGAGGGAAGAGGACTTTCCTTTGCGAGGAGCAGCTCCTGGGCCACTAACACAGCGGCAGACACGGCCGCGAACCGTCAGGAAACTTCCCAGCAAAACTAAACGCGTTTGCAAACGATACAGATAAAGCGACACGTCGCAGGGGCGCTGTGACTGCCCAGCCCGGGCCCCCGCGCGCCCGCTGCCCACACGGAGACCGGGCCCCGGGGGCGCCGTGCAGCAGAGAGCTCCGGGTGCGGGACGCAGGATCTGTACTTGCTGGGCTGATCTGCATTTTCAGACATTTCTACAACGACCCTGAATTACTTTAATTAGAAAGGCAAATGAGGGACACGAAGCAAGCAGGCCATGAACGCTGCCGCCCGGGGGTTTAAGGAGGATCAGGCGTGTGCTGTGAAATCCGTGCCGGGAACTAAGACGCCAAACCCCAGCGCCCAGCTAATCCCGAGAAATGACAGTTTGTCTCTAAGGCACCCGCGCCCCTGGGGCTGCCTTAGCTGTGGGGGCGGGCGGGGGCGCGTCTTAGGGTGCACATCAGCCACTTGGTCACGGTGCTGGGGGAGGCCGCGTGGAGAGCGGGGCAGAGGCGGACACGCGAGGACATCTGGACAGAGCGCCTGCACTTGCCGAGGTGGGGTGGGCACCTGAGGCTGACCCCCCCCTCCCCCGCAGTGTGTGGCGTCCTGGCGCGAGTGCTGGTGAACAGGCTCTCTGGATAACCAAGCCGGCGTGTGGTCAGAGAGGAGCCTTGCCAGACATGGCGGCTTTTACAAAGGGGACATGGACACACCAGTGTTGGGGGAGGGTGCAGGCAGGGGTCGGGAGGTCAGGAGCCTCAGGGCCGCCGGAGCCCCCACCAGTAGACCGGCAGCAGGCACCCCTCCACGCAGGGTGCCTCCAGGAAGCAGGACATGCTTCTGCGGCTGACTCCACCCCGTGGGGTCCAGCGGCCTGGGGATGCCAGCGTGGCGGAGCCCGGAGCTGCTCCAGCCACACGGACCAGAGCCGGTTGAAACCGCCAGGAGAAAGGAGCCTGCACTTCAGGACACTGCTCACCTGGGCCTCCAGTTCTGTCACCTCCAAATTCAGCTTGTTCAGGTGCTTGTTCACAAAGGTGATGAGAGACTGTCAAGGCAAAGGGCACAGGCGCCTGCGTGACGGGCCCTGGCTCCAGGGTGGCACACCCGGCCCGGCCGCAGGGCTGTGAGGCTTCCTGACCTGTGCGGGCTGAGCGGCAGGCCCATCCAGGAGATGCTCACAGAGTAACCCGGGGTTAAGGGGTCGTCCTGCCCCTCCCCGCCGCCCCCCCACTCTGAGCTGGAGTTCACGGGATTCCCCCCACCCAGCAGGCGCCTGGGCGAGGCTCAAGGGCCGCCCCTGAGCTCCCGTCTGGAGACAGGCGCCCGGGAGCAGACGCCGTGCCCAGCCTCCGCGCCGGGCTGCAGTTACGCTGCCGGGCACACAGCAGGCATTTCGGGGATTTCCAAGATTCTCCCACCTTCTTCCCAGCATGGAGCTCACACTGCAAAAGGGCCCGGGCCGGAAGGGACGCGGCGGGGCGCTCACCTTCTTCACCACGCTGAGCTTGTCCGGGGCGTGGTCGAAGAGGGTGTCGAAGGCGTCCCGCTCTGCGTGCACAGGGGACAGGGACGAGGGGAGATGCTCCCGCCGGCTGCGCTGAGCCCCCCGCCCGCCCGCCCCCGTGAGGCAGCTCCCGATTGCTCGGGGCTCAGCCTGGACTTGTTCTCCCCGGGAATCCTGTGTCCCCGCCGGGAGCGACGGGCGGGCGCAGCGAGGCGCGGAATCCAGGGAGAGAGGCCCGAGGCTCCCAACCCAGCTTCTGTCTTCTCACGTGAAATACATGGACGTCCGCCCCCCACCACCCAGGACTCGCGCCGACCCCGCCTCGCTCCGGTGCCCCCGCCTGTCTGCCAGGAGGTCCTGCCGGCAGGGCCCACCTCCCCTCCTCTTTGTCCCTGCTGCCCCCGACCAGCCCCAGCCCCTCACCCCGGACAGCCACGGCCTCCAAACATCAGCCTCCCCCACCCCCCGCCACTCCCGGCTCCTCCACACACCCTCCCGGGTGCAGCGCAAACTGGGTCATTTCCTCCCCTCCCTCCCCGACCCACTGAAGCGCGCCAACAGCTTCTCATCACTCTTAAAATCCCATGACCCAGGGGGCTCCACCACCCAGCCTCACCACCACCCAGCCTCACCACCACCCTCCCCCACACGCTGGCCGCGGGGCCTTTGCACCTGCCGTCGCCTGCCTTACTTCCTCCTGGTTGTTCGCCCTGGCTCTGAGGCCCCACCTAGAACACCCTGGTCCCTAAGCTGTCCTCTTACCCCAGGGCGCCTGGTCACGGCACGAATCACTACTAGTGCATTTCATTTTTGTCTGCTGCATATTACCTGGTCCACTGCCAGTCCCGGCTGGGTCTGCGAGCCCACTGCTCCCCGCAGCGCCCAGCTCCCTGAACCGGACAGGCCACAGCTGTGCTCAGCACAAAGGCATGGGCAGAGACCCCGCTCCAAGATCTCTCTGCAGCGATTCCTTCTGTGTGCCCCACGTCTGCCTTCTCCCTGGGTGGGCCAGTCCAAATGCCCACCCATTCAGGCTCCTGCCAGGTGAGCGCTCACCTGCCCTAGAGGCCAGCGCGCCCTTGGAACTCACCCAGTGCCAACCTTCCCTCTCTGAGGCCCCCAACACCAGGGCTTAGAATCAGCAACAGGGAGGGACGGGGCTGGGGGCCAGCCTGACACCGCTGGGGGTGGGGGCATGTGGAGGCAGGCCAGACCCCAAGCAGGCGGGCCAAGGTCTCCCAGTGGACACAGAGCTCTGGGAGGCGCTGCCAGGGCAAGGGGAGAGGAGGAGGAGGGCATCTGGGAGGCCCAGTTGCCAGGGCTCCTGGGGCGGTCAGTGCGCAGAGGCGCTCCCAGCAGAGGCGCCCCCAGCAGAGGCGCTCGGGCCCAAACACAAGGGGTGGGAGAGGAAGGTCCTCCTCCCGCAGCCTGGGGTGACTAGGAGCCAGACTGGAGCTGGCACGGGGGCTGCCTAGCATCACCCGAGTGGACGGGGGAAGGAGAAGGCAGGTCAGGTCCCGGGTGGTTACCCCGAAGGGGAGCCAGGTCCCTGGCAAAGTGTCCCAGCCCTCGTCCCCCGGCCCGGCCCGCAGGAAGGTCTCAGCCCCAGCCCGGCCTTGGGAGCCGCCTCCCGGTCTGGGGGTGCGGGGAGAGAAGGGGTGTGCGCGTGCATGACACGTGGGGTGCGGTCTGCGCAGGCACACGTGTGCACCCCTGGGGGGGGCGGTGCAGCCAGGTCTCCCCAAAGCCCAGAGCACCAGCAGGCCCCGTCCAGAGGGCTGCCCTCCCCCGCTTTTCTGCGGCAGCAGCTGTAAATTATATTTATAATCATCTAAGTCAGACTAGACTCAATGAGAGTCAGCTAAGGGGAGGAAACAAAGCGAAATCTTTACAAAGCAGAACACAAACTCTGGCTGCAGCGCGAGCAGCAGAGGCGCTGACGTCAGCGGGTATATTTAGCGGGGCCACCGCTGGGCTGCACACTCGGGCGCGGGAGGCGGCCGAGGGCCTGGAGGTCGCTGCCCGGGCCCGGCTACGCGCCCCGGAGGCGGGACGGAGCAAAGTCATGTCCCGGCACCTGCCCTGGGCCCGGCCTGGAACCAAAATAGGCCTGGGTTCAAATCCTGGCTGCCGTGACCTTGAGCAAGTGGCTTCTCTTCCTGAACCTGCTCCCTCTCCTGTGAGGCGGGCGTAAAAATAGACCCTGGCTCCCGCGGCCGTGGTGTGAGGGAAGAGGGTAACCAGGGCCACGTGCTGGGGCTGGCTGCGGGCACTTGGCTCACCAGCCACCCCAGCCTTCCCCCTCGCTCCCCACAAGCTCTGGGGCAGAGGGCATCCCTGCCTGTGGGGAGGCAGGGGGGTAAACTGAGGCGGCAAAGAGAGGACAGGCTGACAGGCTCCCCCAGAGGCCAGAGAAGGCTGCAGAAAGGGCTGACTCAAGGGCATCGTGGCAGGGCCACGGCAGGGCTGCACTGGGGCAGCCTTCAGAGAGGGCAGCTTGGTCCAAATAAAGCTGTTCATTTGGTCAACCCCACACTCTGGAGCTGGAAGACTGCGCCCAAGCCCTGGGTGCAATCGCAGCTCCGGCGGCCCCGGGGCAGTGAGCCCACGCTCCCACCTGGTCTCCTGAGCTGACAAGGAAACAGGGGTGTGGGTTCTCCCATCTGCCCGGGCCCCACCACTCCCCACTGACACCCAACTCAGAGGCAGGCGGAGCTTCGGTGTCATTTTACGTTCCAGCCGCTCCCCTCATGCTCTCCGCCTGTCCCTGCGACACCGAGGGGGCCCAGGGACCGAGGGCTGGGGCGCCGAGACAGGCTTTATGGCAGCGCCTTGGCGTCTGCTGGGGCAGGAAGAGGCAGACGGGCAGCCCAGCTGGGGGAGCAGCATGCCCAGGAGGCCGGGAGCCCCAGAGCGGGTTCCAGACAGCGGCGCTCTAGAGAGGCTGAGGGGGCTGCGTCAGGGGGAGGGTGATGACAGGGATGGGGCATGGGGGGGACCCAGCGGAGTGTCCCCAACAAGCTCATTGGCAGAAGGGGAAGGGGTAGGAGAGAGGCCAGGAGAGAAAAAAGAAAACTCCCCAGAAGGGGCTCTGACAGGAGGGTCCCCTGCGGAGAGGCAGCCAGCCAGCCGTTGCCATGGAGATGAGGCTCAGGTGCCCAGCTCCCCTGGGCAGAGACAGGCGGTCCCTCCCAGCTCAGCGGGGAGGGGGTGGGGGGAGGCGGCTCAGGAGGGGGCGTCCTGGCGCAGCGTGGACCCTCCCGCCCAAGCTCAGCGTGCTCACGTGCAGAACTCAGGCCAGAGCCCCCCACTGGCGACATCCAGGGCGGGCACCCCTGAGGACGGTCTGCCCGGCGTTCCGTGGACCAGCTCTGGCTGAACCCCCGAGTCACGCCACCCCCGGCTCTCCCTGGGGCCAGGTCCTCCCGGCTCTGCTCTCTCAGCCACCCCGTGTTCCACAGCCCCCCACTGAGCTGACCACCCTCACAGCTCCACACGCCCACCCCAAGCACGGCAGTGAACTCCACAGGAAACGGACAACGCCGGCCATGCCGTGTCCCCTCCGTGCCTCTGCAGTCCCACGTGGCCTCAGCCTCACAGGAGCGACAAGGAGGCGACGGCAGGGTGTGGTGTGGCCCATAGGGCCTCCACGCAGACCCAGGGCAGGGCCCGCCTGGCCTGGACACTGGCCCCTGGGGTGTCCCACAGAGGGCTGGGCTGGGCGCCTGCCCCGCGGACACCTGGCCCTCAGCTGCTCCCACAGCGCAGCAACCAGTGCAGGAGGTTTCCTTTTCTGCCTGTTTCTTTGTGTTTTGTTTTTCAATAATAAAGACATTAAAAAGAACTGAATTGCTACTTAAAAAGGAAACAAATGGTGAAGACTGTGAATTTCCCCCACACGGCTTGGGGCCTAGTTAAAGCTTAAGGGCATAATTGCTGCATTTTCTCACGTTCCAGACGGTCTCCAAATGAAGAGCCACATGCCCTGCCACACACAAGCCAGGTCCCGCAACACCCTGAGGTCACAGAGCCAGCCGGCCAGGCCCCTGCAGGACTAGGGTGGGCGCTCACCCCACAGCCAGGGGACCGCTCCGGGCCAGGCAGGGAAACTTCCGTTTCTCCTCCTAACAGCGGCCGTCACCAGGGGCCCAGGCGCCGGGCGGGGCGCGTTCTGCTTGGAGACATTCCCCAGAGCAGGGAGCCTGGCTCCACGGCTGCTGGCCACGGCCGGGGCTTCCAGCCTGCGGCTCCTGTCTGGCGTCCAGTGTCCGGATGGACCTGGGGTCACAGGTGGCTCTGTGTGACCCCCTCCTCTTTGGGAAGCCTCATGAACACTGACAGCAATAACCAGCCCCGTGGCAGGCGGGTCGGCGCCAGCCTCACCGCCCCCAGAGAGCCTTCTGCCCCACGGAGATCCATCCTCTTTACAGGTGGAGCAGCAGGGTGAAGGGCCGGGCTGCCCGCCAGGGGACACCTGGATGTGGCGCAGACTCGGGACAGCACTTCCCAGGAAGAAGCCCACCTCTTGTCCTGGCACCCCAGCCCGGGCCACATCCAGGCACACCCCGCCACACCCCACACCAGCCCCCCACCACGTGACCGCGATGCCCCTGGGGGGGGGGGCGGGGAGTCGGGGGCGACACTTTCCTGAAGACTCCAGAGCTTCAGGGGCAGAGAAACCCTCACAGGGTCCTGCCACAAGCCCTCCCTGTATGACTCCCCGCCCCCGCCCCAGAGCACCTGGACTCCGAGGCAGCCCCGGAGACACCAGTGACCTCTATTACCCCATGCCCAAGCACCCCACCTGGTTACTTACCAAACCGACCCACCATCATCCTACAAAAAAGAAGAGAGAGGTCAGGGGCTGCTGAACAGAGGTCATGGCTGTGGAAGGGGGGCTGTTCTAGGAGCCCAAGTTCCCCTCTGGCTGCAAAGTGGGGCCCCACGGACTGCTGAGCACTTGCTGGGGCACAGCAGCATGTCTTTACCTAAACCCCTAAATCCCCCTTTCATACTCCAGAGACACTTCAGTCGGGGGGTACAGAAGGTCCCCCATCAGGCCTTGACCCATAGACATTCAAATACAAGAGTGCAAGTGACCCCAGGGCCAAGTTTTGGGGGTGAAGAGATGCTCTTTCAGGGAGTCACGAAGCTAACAGATCCGAGGGGCCACAGGCCACTTGCCTTCGGGCTCGCGGGCAGGGCCCGGCCGGCCTCCTCCACAGTCCACCCAGCGCACGGGGCCTCCTGCACCCACCTCCCGGATTCCTCTAGATGCAAGTCCTTGCTTAGTAAGGTGCCTCGAGCACCTGCAACGTGCAGGCGTGGAGATGCAGAAACAGGCACCCCTCGGCCACCAGCACCCTGTGGTCCTGCCCGTGACACGCGTGGCGAGAGGATCATGGCCAACATCCTGACAGCCATGATGAGCACCCAACGTGGGACAGTCAGGAGGTGCAACCCGAATGACAAGGCAGGCAGCCTCTCCTGCTTATGATGAGGGAGGGCTTCCTGGAGGTGACCTCAGCACTGCCTCGGGCTGGGCAAGATGCCTCTGAGGCGGATCCCGCATCCAGGAGGCTGAGTGTCCAGAGGCCTGAAGCCAGATGTGGCCGAAGGCAGGCGACCAGGCCTCGGTGGTTTCGGCAGATCATCTGGTTGTTCCATCAGGCCCCAGCCACAGAGGGGTGGGAGAGAGGAAACTCTAAGCCAGGGGACTAGCTGGCCTGTGCTAGGCCCTGCTCCCCCCTCCTCCTCGTGGCTGCATGGCACCTGCCTCAAGCTCCCAGGACTGGAGGTCACTTCCTAGGGACACGCTTTTCTCACCAGCTAAAAGCACCACCCCTCTGGGAGAGGTGCCAACTCTAGGACCCCCTCCCTGCGAGCATCACGCACAGTAGGCCCTCTGGTCGCTGCTGTGAATTGAGGCTTCTTGCTCTGGTCACAGAGTCCCTCCCTCCCACCCTGCCCTCTCGCCCCATGGGAGACCCCAAACAGACACAGCTTCTTCCCAGTCCATGCCCACCTGGCTGTTCCTGCCAGCAGGGGTGTGATCCCCTGCTGTCCCCCACTCTCTGCTCCGGGGTGGCCTTGTGACGTGCTCTGGGCCACACAAGGCAAGGACACAGCCTGGGGGGGTCCCAGTGGCCTGCAGCTGCCCGTTCATCCCCACAGAACCCCGAGGGCCCCCAGGAGATGGCCCAGTCCAGCAGGATCAGAGACACACCAGGGGGCCACCTGGGGGACAGATGTGGGAGAGGCCACCCTGTGCCACCCAGTCTCAGCTGAGCCACCAGAGGCACCTGTGCCCTGACCAGCCCAAGACCCCACTGGGCTTCCCCCCAGGGAAGCCCACCCAGCTGCTGACCCACTGAACTGCCCACAGTGATGTGGCCGCTGGAGCCTCCCACCCAGGGGCTCGCTGCGCAGCGGACACGAGGCTGCTCCCCACTCCTCACGCCGGGCAAGCTGCCTGCCCCGACTGGCCGCCCACTGCGGAGGCCCCACCAGGCCCAGGCCCTCCCGCCCTTGATGCTGGAGCAGATGTGAAGGCACATCAGGCTGTCCCGTCCCTCCTGCTACCCGACAGCTTCCCGCGGGAGCGGCCCCTCAACCGCGCCGGTTCTGAGGGCTCAGAGATGAGTCACGGCACAGTGATTAGTCACGCCACGCGCTCAGCTGGCTGGGGACGGCGGTGCCGAGACACTCGGCGTTCAAATGCTGTTTCACCTGAAACCGCCTCAGCAAGAGGCACAGCTGTGGTGGGCTCGGAAGACCCCAGTCGGGGTGTCCCAAGGGCTCCTGAGACTTGAGGCCTCGCAGACTTAAAACTGGCTCCATTTACACTGAGAGACGACAGGTAGCTCAGCGGCTGCTGTCGGAGGAAAGCTCTGGAGAGGATGTGTGGCTCCTCCCTCCCTCCTTGGGGTCCGTGTGGCTGGACAGAGGAGCTGGGGTGCCGGGGAACCCTGACAGCCCCCGCCTTCCTAAGGCTCCCCTTCTAAAACAAGGCATGGAAAGTCGGAAGGTTCAGCAAATACCAGTTCTAACGTCAACAGCCTGAAGGGAGTGCACGGGGCTGTGTGACGCCCCCTGAGGAGCAGGGACACGGGCTGGGAGGGGGCCGGCACCCAGCGTGGCCAGAGCCGGCCCACTTACTCGGTGGTGGTGGTCAGCTCCTCCGTGACGTGGCTGGAATGCAGCAGGCCTTCCCGCTTCTGAAACCCAACAGGAACCAATCAACCCACCCTGGGCAGCCGGAGCGGCACAGGCAGGCCCAGCCGTGAGGAGACAACCTGGCTGGGAGGCTGCCGGAGACTTGAGGGCTGTGCCCAGCTCCAAGCCAAGCTCGGGAGGGCAGACAGCAGCTGACCAGGGGGTGACCTGTCCAGTGTTGGGGGTTGGAGCCCCCTAACTGGCTTCCACTTGACACACCACTCTTGGAACTGGCAGTGGTGGGGTTCTTGGGAGAAGGGCTCCAGCTCCCAGAGGCACCCAAGGCCTGCAGCTGGAAGAGGCCAGGAGCACGAGGGAGCATCACAATAGCAGGGCGGCACCCACTGAGATAGTGGGTGTGCATGGGGCTCAGCAGAGCCCCCAGAAGTCATGTCCACCCAGAAACTCAGAAGGTGACCTTATTTGGGACCAGGGCCCCTGTGCGGGGGAGGGGGCCTGAAGATGGGGCCACAATGATGGGGGCCGAAGCCCAGGGTGACCGCTGTCCTCCAGGGACACAGAAAGCCAGCCACAGAGAGGCCAGCTCCTCCCGCCACCCGGGAGCCTCTACTTGAAGCCCTAGAGGCACAGGGTTCTCCCTTCCGTGTGACCACCACTGAGGACACTTCTCGAGACCCCAGCTCCCACCTTTCCTGAGCCAGGAAACCCCCCACTGGTTCTTGGGAATGAAGAATCACCAGCCACCAGGGCCCCCACCCCAGAGAGCCCACTGGGGGTGCAGGCGTCGGGGCATGCAGCTTTAGAAAAGCCCACAGCAGCCAGCGCCTGGCAGACCGCAGCCACCAGGGGCGGAGGCTTGGCAAGCCCGATACAGCCCGAGACGGTCCACCCAGGTTTCCAGGACAACCTCCACACAGCAGGAGCCTTCGTGCCCGGTGCGTTTTCCTCGGTGGGTGTCCCTGACAGCCAGTGCCGAGTACCAGGTATACAGTAGGTGCCAAATACACATGCACTGTACGGACAAAACTGCAATCACAGAGCCAGGGCAGAGCCCGCGCCCTGGAACAGGGGAGGGGCAGGAAGGAGCTTTGGCACCGGCACAAAGACCGCAGGCCGGAGCCGCCTTCCAGGCCGGGAGAAGGACCCTGGGGAGGGACGCGGCGGTGGGCAGCTCTACCTGGGCGTCCCCTTCACCCCTGTCTGAGCCTCTGCAGCGAGCAATGGCACATTCTAGGGGGGCGGCTTCCTACTTATTGGCTTTGGAGAGAAACGTTCTTTTCAAAAATACGGAAACTGAAACCTCAACACCCTCATGCCTTTGGATCTGCCTCTCTGCAAGTCAGTCCGTTGTCCCGGCCACGGCTACTTATCTCGGAGCCAGCGGATCCACGTTCCGTCAGGAGGGAGACGTGGAAGGTGGCCTCGCGGGGGGAGCGGAGGAGAAACCAGGGGAGCCGCAGGGGTGGCCAGCGGCCGGCGCCAGTACTCACCCGCACGACCACCACCTGCACGGACACGTGCTCGGGCAGGCGGATGGGGGCCCGGAAGTGCGTGGCCAGCGCCACCAGCAGGTGCAGGATGGCCACCAGGTTCTTCGCGTGGATCGCTTTGGGGGAGGAGAAAAGGGGCGGCTTTCAGCGGGTTGGAGAGGAACCCCGGCCCCGTCCAAAAGCCAGCAAGGGCTGCGTCGACTTAAAACCTCAGGAAAACCCCCAGGGCGGAAAAGTCAGGAGAGGGGTCCCTCAGAGTCCATCGGGGTTCTGGTGTCTACTGTCTTGCTGGCCTGAGCTGACTTTAAGAGCATGATGTTTTGGGGCCTCCCCGGTGGCGCAGCGGTTGAGCGCTGGGCTGCGAAGCTGCCCGCAGCCTCTGCAGCGCCGGTTCGATCCCCGGCCACCAGCGAAGGTCCCACATGGCGTGACAGACCTCTCCTGCCGCCCGCTGCTCCCCTCAGCACTGTACTTCGGTCCTTCTGCCTGTTCTGCTCCCCGCTCTGGCTCCGGTGGATTCTCTCACCCTCCCGCGCTTCCGACTGTGCCCAGTGCTTGTATAAATAATAAATCTTTAAAAAAAAGAGCACGATGTTTTGGAAAGGGCTGAAGGGGGCAGTGATAGGGAGCAGGACGGGGCGGGAGGGTGGAATGAGCACACAGACAGGGCGAGACCAGGACGGCCACGGCCGTCACAGTACTGGGTGCTCAGCGGCAGCCCCGCCAGGCAGTGGACCTGGTGGTCTCCTGGAGGGCGGCTGGGGGAGGGGCGTGCAGGATGCCCCCACTGCCTGGGCCTCCCGTGCCATCCCCGAGTCTACCAGCCCATGGACCAGCGTGTGGACCTTCACGTGAGCCCTCACGCACAGCCACGGATACGTGAGCAGGCCTGCAGGCCAAGGCCTTGATGCCAAGGAGCCAGGGGCAGGAGTCCTGGCCACAGCAGAGCGCCCCTGTCCTCCGAAGCCTGCCCGCATGGAGGGGTTGGGGAGGGCAGCAAGGCCGCGCGTGGGTTCCCGTGCACCTTCCCGGCCCTGGCCAGGCTGCCAAGATGTCGCGGTCCTGATGCCAGCGGGCTCGGACTCGCCCGGGGCTTGACGACCTGCTCTGCTGGGCCGGCAGTAAAACGGCAATGGCCTTGGTGTCCCTGGGTTTGGGCGGGGCCCCTTCCAAGAGCCCCAAGAGCCTCTCCCCATCCTGCCTCCAGAGGCCCCCCCAGATCTATCCAGCCGGAAGCCGTGCCTCTCTGCTCTGGTGAGGGGCACAGCCAGGCAGGCAGGCCTGGTCCCAGGAGCCAGCTCCAGGGAGGGGGTCACCGGCGTCCTGCTCTCCCGGCGGCCACTCACAGTCCACGGTCCACTGGGGCGCCCAGCTGTGGGAGCGCAGCAGGTCCCGCACGGCCTCCAGCACCGTCTGCAGCTTCTGCTTCTGCCCGACCTCGGACTGTGTCACCTCGGCCACATTCAGCTTGCAGCCCCCCAGCTTTTCTGTGGAGAGGCCAAGGGCAAGGGCAGTGCGTCAGGGGGAGCAGCCCCTCGGGACCCTCCCAGCCCCCTTCTCCTGGCCCTGGGTGGGGCGGGCGGTCTCAGCGGGGGCTGCCGGCTGCAGAGGGACAGGACCGCGCTCTCAGATCCGGGCGTGCTTCCACCCCACCCCCCAGCACCCCGACGGTCCTCCACGTCCCACTGGGCCCCCCTTCCAGGGCCCCTCCCAGTGCTTCAGTTGTGCGGGGAGATGTTACAGCTTATTATTGACTCAGCTTTGCCCGACCCTTTGTCCGGTTCCCTGTGCCCCTCAGGTGAGGCCTCCCGTGCGTCTCTCCCTTCTGACTTATTCCCTGAGCACCGGCTGCGCCGCTCCACGCGAGTGCGGCTATGGCGGGAGTGCGCGTGTGCGGACACATTTTCCTGACCCTCCCCAGGCCCCCGGCCCAGGCTGTGTCCGAGACTCGGTGGATAGAAGCGGCCGCGGTGGCCCTGGGGACTCTCGTCTCTCTCTGAACGAGCGCTTTGGGCAGACGCTGAGGGGCGGGGCTGCTGCCAGCGGACAGCCCGGCCCATCCCGACCACACCCCGGGCCGGCTGCTGGCGGCCCCTCAGCTGCTGCCGTCCCGACCGTGGCGAGTGCGGAGTGCTGGCCGGGGAGCGGGCCTGCGGGGGCAGGTCGGCGGCATTTCCAGTCTTAGTTTTTCAGGTACATCCTGCCCGAGTCGCTTCGCCTGGTGGCGAGCGGACCCTCCCCTGCTCTCTGCACCCGGGCGCCCAGTGACCTTCAAAGGCTGACACAGATCATGTCACAGCCCCGCGCAAAACCTCCCGTGGCTTCCTGTCCCTCGGAATACAAGCCTCTGTCTACCAGGCTGGACGTGACCGCCCTGGTGCAGGCCCGGCCCCTCCCCGCTCCATCCCGCCAGCTCCTCCTCCCTCTCCCCCTCCCGCCCTCACACAGCCTCCCCTGACGCTGCCTGGACGCTGCCCCTGGGGCTTCGCAGCCACCCCAACCCCTGCCCCTCGCCAGCCCCGTGCCGTTCCCCTTGGCCTGGCCCCTTTGAAGCATCTATTGTGCGTGAGGTCGAATCAGAACATGTGCAGGGGTATGAGGGGTCCCTCCCGTGTCACCCCTGGATCCCCGCTCTGTTCCTTCTGGGGTCTCCACATGGTGCTGAGGGCCCCCCGATTCAGACAAATACTATCCACAGCTCCCCAACATTTCCAGCAGAAGGAGCCCCATCCTTGCCGTCAGGGGGTCACAGCTCTGCCCCCTCGGTCTCAGTGCACAGATGTAGTGGACACTTCGGGAAGCCATGGGTGAGCTGCCTGCAGCCCATGGCTGAGGGCTGGACAGGGGGCAGCGGGCGGGGCCGGGGACGCCACTGGGAGCCAGGGTTCAGGGTTCAGGGCTGCGACCTGGAGTCCGCTTGGCCGTGTGACCAGGTCGGCAGCTGGAGAACGGCGGGGTCGGGGTGTGGGCGCCCCTGCGGCGGCCCTCTGCAGCGGGGCTCACCCAGGAGCTTCTGCAGCACCTGCCCGTCGTACAGGTCCTCCTCCAGCTGCTTCACGATGATCCGCTCCTCCACCAGCACGTCGTTGACCCAGTCGATGAGCACCTGCGGGAGAGCGGGTGGCCTCAGGCTGCGGGCCGGAGGGCTCCTGGACGCCCTGGGGGCCACGGCATGAGCGGTCACCCAGGGTGAGTGGGTGTGTCAGACACAGCCGAGCCACGGACCAGGACGCGCAGAGGAAACACCCTCGGAGGGTGGGCCCTGGGGGCGGGTTCCACTTGGCCAGGGCTGCCCAAGCCACTGCCGCAGACCTGGCCAGAAAGGCCTGGAAATGGCAGCTCCCGGCTGCTCTCAGGCGAACACAGGCCACGCCAGCCCCAGCCCCTGCGAGTCTCGGGGATGTGCACAGGGTGGGGTCCAGGCTGTTGGGGATGGGGAGGCGGTGGCGCAGCCCATGATGGCCACAGCATGATGGACGCGCCATGCAAGGAAAACGGGGAGCCGTGAGGGGACAGGAGGCGGGAAGCCCGGAGCAGCCTGGGGCCAGGCAGAGACGCCCCCACTGGCCCCATGACACAGCAGCCACGATAGGCTCCAGGCCACAGAGACCTCCTGGACCCCTCACCCTGCAGCCTGACCCTCTGACCCCTCCACTCCAGACCTGCCGGGGTTTGCTGCCGTCCTTCTGTCAGGGCCTTTGCAGGGCTGACTGGGGCCGGGTGACCCTCTTGCCTTCCACTTGGTCCCGGGCCCCAGCCACACGCGCCGGCCTCCCAGCCACAGACCGGGAGCCAATAACCAGACGTGGCTGAGCCACAGAACAGTCATCACGACACAGCAGTGGAGACCACCAGGGACGGCCTCTACCATCGTAGCCCAAGCGTGAGCCTCGTGTGGGAACAGCATGGCCAAGGCACATGGAGGCGCCGTGGAGACCGAGCTCCACCGGGCTGACTGTGCGACCTTGAGCCGGGCACGCGGCCTCTGGTGCCTCAGTTTCATTAGCAAGGAGGACAGGTCAGTTCCTGCCCCCGTGTGACCCAGCAACGTCAGGGCTGGTGCTCCCCGTGGTGCTAACCTAAGCGTGCCCCGGACACTTACTGACTCTCGACTGACCCCACATAAATGCACCAGAGGAAAACCTCAAGGGACGCAAATAAAAATACTGCCGCTCTGCAAGCACAGCCCCCACCCGCCACGGCCCGCGGCCGCCCCACCACGAGTCACCTGCCGCTGTTCTTCCAGGCCGTGTGTCTTAATCCTGCTTCGCAAGACAGTTTAAAGATAGCAGCGGTCATTATTTTAGGGTGGACTCATTTGCAAGCCCTGAATCCTGCAGACAAATGTATGGGATGTAAATAAATGATGCGTTTTGCGCGCATAATTTAGGAGCTGACTTTAGCCAGAATTAAAAATTACTTTGCCGTCAGTTCCTCCTGATCCCCAGGACCCGCAGCCTGTCCCCAGAGGCCAGCGCGGTGCCGAGCCAACCGCCTGCGCAGCCTCGCGCGGCCTGAGACACCCAGGACGTCGGGGCTCGGGCGCTGCCGGGGCCGGCCGGCTTCCAGCCCAGGATCATTTTTACGCCATTGATTTTCTTGCGCGAGAAGAGGCCAGGAAGGAAACGGAACCTACCACCAGGAAGGGTCTTTCCAGTCGCCAGGAAACGAGACATGAATCTGCACTCACAGGGGACCTTTCTCCGGCCGGTCATTCTCCTTGCCAGGATCATTAAGCAAATGCCGTTTGGGGGGCGGGCAAATCGGTCCCGGGGCCCACCGCAAGGCGGCGGATGGAGACTGGACTCCAGGAAAGGCTGCCCTAGAAGACGGCGTGCCTGGAAGCCAGGACGGGCCAGAAGCCACGTCGCATCAACAAGAGCTTACAGAAGTGACACCAGGCACGGCCGCACGCAGATGACACGGCCGGAGGCGGCCACCTGCGGGTCGGGGGGGCCTGTCCGGAAGCGGACTTGGATCTGGGGCTGTCAGAAGTTTCTGTGGTGAAGCCGCCCTCCACCGGAACCGAACACGCTGCTGCCCCTAAGGCCTTTCCAGCACTTTCTGGAGGGCGCTGGAAACACCACCCCAGTGAGTCTGTCTGGCTCCGGGGCCCCCAGGACATGCTCTTCCTGGCCCCATGGGCCTCACCCCACTGGTCGGGGAGGAACAGGGTGCTGGGGCAGAAGCACAGCCGGCGAGGAAGAGGCTGCGGGCCAAGGTGCCGGCCCAGCTGACCCCTCACCGCTCTGACCTTGGCACCAGCTCCTTCCCACCCCAGGAAAGGAGGGGCTGACAGTCTGCTGATGTCAGCGAACCCCAACTGCAAGCCATGCCAGGGCCTCACACTCAGGCCCCACACACCTGGCAGAGGAGGAAGAACCAGCCGCCGGCGCTCTGCCTCCCCTCGCCACCCACACGCCGCTGTTCGGAGCCTCGCTGGAGCGCACCGCCCCGCAGCCGCCACGCCGGCCGTGCCACTGTCTCTCCCACCACGTGTTTATGCTTATTTGGAAAACGCTCCGTAAAGTGAAAAAGACACTCCCGGCCTGCCTTGTGATGTGACCTGCATGTGAGCAGGCAGAACCTTCCAGAATTTCCCCACTCGGGACACACATGCTGGAGGGCGGCAGCTGGCCTAGGAGACTGGCCCGCCCGTGGACGGCGGCAGCACAGGAGGCAGCAGAGAGCGAAGGGGCTCAGTCAACCTGGCGCCGTCGCTTCCTGTGGCTGCTGCTCCCGCCCACAGGGCCGGAGCTTCCTCTCCCTGCCCCGAGGACGTGTCTCAGGGTCTGATGTCAAGGGGCTGGTCTTGGGCATCCTGGCCCCGGGCCCTGCCACAGGCCGCAGCCAGCCTCCCTCCCCCACCCTCATGAGCTCACTGGGGGCCCGCCGGGGCCTCCCGGAGCATCTCCCGACGCAGTCCCCGGGCTCAGGTCTGCAACATCGCACAGAGCGAGGCGACATTCGCAAGCTCTAGGGGCAAGGGTGCGACACCTTTGGGGCACAGGTTCAGCCCATCCCACCTGGCTCCCAGGAGAGCCCAGGGTACCCCCCCAAACTGGTAAGAATGAGGGGACTGTAGAGCCAGGCGGGCACCAGGGTAGGCGCAGCTCCAGCCTGTCTCTGGGGAAGCAGGGCAGAGGCCTCCTTCACCGGCCCTGCCCGTCCGCAGCCCTTCTCTGCTTCAAGGGGCATTAACGCCCCCAAACCCACAGCCCCATCAGCCCAAACACCCCATGCCCTGTGAGGTGGCCCTTCACCTGAACCCACAGGAGCAGCCGGAGGCTGTGGGGGCCCTCCTGGTGGGCGAACGAAGGACACTCAGCTGACCAGGCCCCTCCTCGGGGCTCAAGCCGAGGTGGTGGGACCGGGAGGAGCAGGAGAGACAGCGACTCATCCTGGCGTAGCCCCCACACTTGTCCCTGACCTGTGGGCACTTGGCTGGCTCCTGTGGGGCCACCGCACGCAGAAGCTGGGGTGACCAGCAGCTCCTCGCAGCTGCACCAAAGTGGGTGATGCTGTGTGCTTCGCTCCCGCCTGAGGTGCAGGAGGCCGGGGTGAACGTCAATCTTGGTCTGGCGGGGCCATGGGGGCCGGGTCATCGGACTAAGTGACCTCTCCCGTGTGTCTGTTTCCGGGAGACACTGGCGTGGACGTGGTGGACAGATGCCCCCCATGGTGTGGGCAGGCACACGGGACCACTGAGGGCCTGAGCTGACCGGGGGAGGGAGGCCTCCTGGGCCCCACCTGCACCCCGGCTCCCCGGGGTCTCCAGCTGCAGACGGCAGAGCCGGGCACGCGTCAGCCTCCGCAGTCACGTGGGCCGCCTGTCACGCACTCCTCTGGGTATTTATAAACGGCCTGTCGTCTGTCTCTGGAGAGCCCTGACTAATCGGTGCCTCCTGCTTCTGCCGCTTAACTGTGCCCCGTGGCTCACAATCTGGCGGCTGAGAGGCCGGGTCCCTTGCAACTTCTATTCAGAACACCAAAGTGGGATTCGGGAAAAGAAATCTTAAGATAAACGAGGTAACCGAAGTCAAGAATCAGCATTTGGGGGTGGGCCCCAAAGTTGACATCTTCGACGTTAGTTCTTAGAAACCTCTAGTTCTGCAAAGGTCTGGCTGGGCCGGAGCCGGCCCTCGTAAAGGTCAGTGGTCAGCAGCAGCGCTGAGTGCAGGGAGCGTGGGACCTGCGGGGAGCCGAAAGGGCCACCCCAGTGAGGGCGTCCAGCGTGCTCCGGCCAGTGCCTGGGGGCAGTGAACGCCCAGAGCCTTGAGGACCAACACAAGGGTGGGCGGAGGACATGCACCCCGGCCTCACGGCCCCCACTTGTCCCGACAGATGCCCGTGGCAGGTGTCACCCCAGCACACCCCAGAAAGGAGCTACGTATGGGGCTCGTGCTTGAGCAGGTAGGGCTGAGGTGGGGCAGGCCCAGTGCCCAGGGGTCCCGGGGCCCGTGATCTGGGGGGTGCTCGCCCTATAGGCACCTGGCAGCCGGACTTGGACCCCAAAGGACACGTTTCTACCCCAAAGCGCTTAGGTGGTCCCCACTGCGGGGGCTAGTATTGTAAGATTGGTTTCTGCCATTTCTTTTCATAGTTTTGGGGTTTAAGTTTGATAAATTCCCAACTGGAAGGGGACCCGAGGGGGGATCCTAAGAGGCTGTTGTCACCCGCACAGCCAGGCACGGTCTTCCGGACGCCCCCGGCCCCCCGTGTGTCATCCACGGCTGCCTGACCTGACGACGTCTGGGCTGAAGGGGCGAGGCTGCTGTCAGCACCCAGCACCAGCCCGGCTGGGGGCCCCCGTGTGAAGTCTGATGGCAGCTGAGGGTAGAGCAACCGAGACTGCCACCCCCTTGGACAAAAGCTGCAGATAAAGCCTCGCGCTTGCTGGGGCTGGTGGGGCCACGGGGATGGACAGCAGAGGCTGCAGCCCCGGCCCTTGGCCTCTGCCCTGCTGTGGGGGCCAGCCCCCCCCACCAGCGAGCGGGCACGTGGCTTCCACGGAAAGGGGGGTGGCCGGGGCAGGTGGCTGGCCCTGGGGGCTCCTCAGCAGGACGGGCCAGAGGGGCTCCAGGACCTGGTCTCAGAGTCCCTTCCGCACCCCAACCAGGCTGGAGAGTTTCAAGCCAACTTGCAAGGCCCAGCTGCCCCTCCCACGTCTTCACAAAGCCCGTGTGGGGGGCCTGGAGGGGCCCTGGTCCTGGCCCCCTAGAGCCCCATTCAGTGCCCTGACCTGCGCGTCCTGCTGCCCCCTGACCTAACGCAACATTCAGTCCCTCCTTTTGTCCACAAAGCCTGAGCCCCAAAGCAGTGCCCTGTCGGGGAGACCAGCCAAGACACCCCGCCTTACCTTGATCAGCTCCTTGAATTTGGGGTTTTCCTTGGAAGTGGGGTCGATCATCGTCCGTTCCTCATTCTCCTCTGTGGGGGACAGGGGAGCCGGGGTCAGCGTGAGCGCACAGGTGAGGGGCAGGGCCTGCGTTTCCGGGGGGCGGGCCCACAGGCCGCCCACCACAGGCTCCACCACTCCACACCCCCGGCCTCACGCCCCCACCCCGCCTGGCACAGACAACCCAGCCGGACCCTGTCCGGAGCAGCCCACGGACCGAATCCAGGGGCACCAAAGCCCCACTCTCCTTGGCCCTCACACCCCGTCCCCTGAAAACCACCAGAAGGCTCCGGCCCCATCTCCCTCCCTCCCTCCCTCCGCCCCAGGTGATTCCCAGCGGCCCGCCGGCACCCGCCTGGCTCTGGGGACACCGGGAGTGTGACCAGACTGTCCCCTGCGGACCTGCTGGCCTCACCAGCCAAAGCAACAGGAGGCACATTTGAACGGGACAGCAGCAGCGACTTGCTCCGCCCAGACTCTCTGGACAAGTCTGAGTGTCTAAGGGCCCAGACTCCCGAGCGGCGGCCGCGGGATGTCTGTTCCAGAGGCCGTGGCCGTCACGCGTCAGCCCCGCCCCGCGGGGCCCGTACCGAGCAGGGTGTCCTCAGGGTGAATGTCCACCAGCGCAGGGAACAGCGGCGAGTTGATGGCATTTTTGCCTTCTTCCTGCAGGTCAGTCACTGCGGGGGGAGAGAGCAGGTCAGGGGGAACGGAGGCCGTGGCCGCACACGCGGGCCGTGGGCCCAGAAATCACTCCTGTCTTTGAAGCAGCAAACAGACACTCCTCGGGGGCTGCGGCTCAGGCTGCGTCGGGGAAACGTACCCTGAGTTCTCCCCCAAGGCAGACCCGTCCCTGGAGAGCCCGGCCTCCCCGTCACGGCTCTGGGACACAGGAGCAAGACACAGCAGCTTCTGGATGCTTCTAGATCTGCCCACGGCTGCTGAGACCCACGGAGCCGGGGCGATGGTGACGAGGCTAGAGAAATCGGGGTGCCCCAGCGGGGCCCGTCCCGTGAAGGACTAAAGGCGAGTCCGGAGCTAGACGCTGCCACCGCTGGTGGCCAGGTTCTCAGGAAGCAGGGCCAGGACAACAGAACACACAGCAGGCCCCAGCAGTGCGGGTCCAGAGGCTTCTGCCTGGAAGGCCCGCTGTGTAGACGGGGGACGGGGAGGACCAAAGCCGCAGGGCCAGAGACAGCGGGACGGGGGGCGACATGGACCCCGCAGTGCAGAGACCCCAGAGGAAACGCCTCGAGTCCTTGGGGCACCTCTGCAGGACCAGAGCAACGCCGGCGGCCCGGAGTCCTCCCACCAGCGGTGGGCCACGCCGTCCCCTCTCCAGTGAGACGGTTTTCAAGGTGAAAACCTCCTTCCAATGCTCGCGCCATTAGCAGCTTTAGCCCCTCCAACCCTGGCCGAGAGGTGGTAAGCCCCCAGGGGACGCGGCCAGCTGGCTTTGCAGCAGGCAGGCCAGCGTGGTCCCCCGCCGCTGGCAGAGAGACCCCAGGCAAGTCCCCTTTCTGAGCCTGTTTCCCCAAAAAGTCAGGGTTCCTAGAAGGACTAAATGAAGCAATGACGTCACCCCTCCAGCCCAAGCCCACATGTGGTGGACAATCCAGACTGATCCAGCTTTGGGGACCTACCCTCCAACCCTGGCAAGGATGACAGCAGTGGGGCCCCCAAATACCAACTGCTACGATCAGGGAAAACCCAGATATGAGACGTTTAGAAAAGGGGGCTCTTGGGTGCCCCCATGTTCTAGAGCAGCAAGGTTCCGGCCAGGGGGAAGCAACCCAGGGCCACTAAGGGAGGCGTGGAGCATCACGCACCCCGGAAAAGGCAGGAAATCCCAGCAGCTGCCGCGCCACAGTGGACCTTGAGGCCCACACGCCCACGGCAATAAACCAGACACAGAAGGACAAGGACTGACGCCACTTACGTGCGTTCCCCGGAGGAGCTGATTCAGAACAGACAGGGCCAGGCCCGGGCTGAAGAGAGCTGGGCCTGGAGCGTGCCGGGGGCGGGGCGGGAGTTGCCGCGGAGGGGAGTTCTTGTCACCAGTGAACTGTGCCCAGCAAGGGCTAAAATGGCAACTTTTGTGTTAACTGCATTTTACCACAACAAAAAAGAAAAAGCAGGATCCTCCCCCGACAGCACCCCAGGCTGGAAGGCAGCCTGGGGTGGGCGCCCCTGAACCCAGCCCACGGGGGCGGGGCCGTCCTGAGAACAGACCCCACGCACTGACGTCTCTTTGTTTTCCGAACAAAAGTACATCCTTAAATACACAAGAGGCTCCAGCGCTTCGCTCTACCTATAGATGGCACAGACGTCCTGGCAGGCGCCCAGATGTTCAGCGGCTTTGAGGACGCCCCGCCTGGGGCACAGGGCCGCCCCGTGGGTCTCAGTCCCCCGCGGGCAGAGGTCTCGGCTCCTCCCCGAGCTGCTTCTGCCGCCCTTTCTGTGCCCGCATGAGGCTGTGCCTTCCTGAGCCGGCCCCGGCTGTCCACGCGTGCAGCCAACACGGAGCCGGCCGCCCCTTGCAGCCACCGCCACTGCGCTTTGAGACCCCTTCCTGCCCCACGGCCCCCACAAAACTGCAAGCACCCCACGGGCCACCCAGGCCAGTGGAGAAAGCAGAGAACACAAGGTCCGGGGGTTGTTTTCATGCATATGGGGCTGCACAGAGGACTTCAACCAGCTAAGAGCCTTCCAGAGCAGCAGGGGGACAAGGGGTGACTGCCTGAGAGCCGTCTCGAGCACGGTGCCCCGGCCAGCGCCGCTGACGGCTCGGGGAGGGTCAGAGGGGCGGGGCCCAGTCACAGTCATCGGTGCTGGCGGCTCTGGTGGTCCCAGAGGAACCAAGACCCTGGTTTCAGACAAGCAGAGAGGTGCCCGGGGGGCCTCAGGGTGCAGGTGAGGCGGGTGGTGAGCGAGCAAAGCCCGCATCAAGCGCTGCGCCCCCCACCCCGGCCCCGCCCAGGGTCATCCCCTCACTCAGACAGACGGGCCTGCGGGGGGCAAGGCTTCCAGAAGGGCCTGATGCCTGAGCTCCACATCGCGGGCCGGGGGTGGGGGTGAAAGAGAAGCGCATTTTCAAAGCACGGAAACTGGGTCACATGAAATCAAGCATTTCCACATCACCCGAGCACATCAGACAGCCCTGAGCAGCCGGGAATCTCACGACCTTAATGAATGCGCAGTGTGCTCACAGAACACCGGCCCTGGGCCAAGCGCTCCTTCCGCAGGGCCTGGCGAGCGCGCGCCCGAGGGACACAGGCCCCGAGGCGGGCGGGCGGGCGCGCGGCAGGAAACCATGGCCGGTGGTGGCCAGCACTGCGCCCCAGAGTCCCGGTGCGAACCCCACTTTGTCACGTGCTGGTGTGCAGCTGGGGCAAATCCCTTCCCTGCTCAACCTCCGTTTCTCCGCCTGTCCCTGGGGGCGGCCGGGCGAGCACCACCTCCCCGGGAGGCTCACAGAGGAGCAGGGCCCTGAGCTCCCGGCTCAGGACACAGGCTCCGCAGAGGGGCAGAGAAGGGAGTGATGAAGAACGGGCAGCCCCTCGTCCCAGCAGAACCGTGGGAGGCTCCCTGGAGGAGGCAGCAACGGAAAGACTTGAACGATGGCAAGAATCCATCTTTCAAGAGAAGGGGCTCTGGACTCTGCCCAGCATTCGGGTGACGTGTCCAGCTGGATGCCCCTCTTCACAGCCTGGGAGTGTCCTCCCAGGGGCCCTCAGCTGAGGAGCCCGGGCCAGGCCCGATGACCATCATCTGAAGGTCTGTCTGCCGTCCCGGAGGGGCCCCTCCCGGCCGCTCCCTGCAGCTGAGTGTTTCCACTCATCCCGGGAATGCTGTGGTTTAAGGGGCTGGTTCCTGTGCCAGAAAATCAAGCTCTTCAGAGACGGAGATGCCGGCCCCTTGAGTCACCGGAGCAGTCGGCGCGGGGCGGGGCGTCGGGCGCAGGGCGGTGTTCAAAGGGCCTGGGTGCGAATCACAAGGCCTGGGGCTAGTTTTCCTGCGCGTGTGCCCTTGCTGAGAGCCTCGCCCTGGTCCACACGAAACCCAACGCCGATCACGGGGTTGAGGCCAGCTCATCCCACCGCACCGAGGTCGCCCACCCCAGGGTCAGCCCGAGGGCGCGGGACTCGGCTGTGCACGGAGGGTAGAGGGAGCGTGATGGGGCGCTGGCTGGGACGAGAGCCCCCTGGGGACGCTGCTCCTCCCTCAGCCGGGGGTGCAGAGGGTGGGTGCAACCACAGGTTTCAGGAGCTCTCAGAGGAGCTGGGCTTATGTGGAACCTCAGCCATTGCAGTTCACAGTAAATGTCCGACTCATGCTCCTGCCTGTGGGAAGGGACTGTAGCACCTACTATGTGCCTGCTACCCTCCAGGATGCCCACTCAGCTCATCTCCCAGCAAGCCAAGGGAGGGAGGGTCCGGGTGGGTCAGCATCTGGTAGATGGGAAGCACCTGGCATGTATCCCCAGTGGGGCTCGGAGTCAGGACAGACTCTGGTGCCATCTGCTCTTGCAGGTCACTGTGCCCGGCGAAGTCTGACCCACCTTCAAGTCACAGCTTAAAGGCCACCTCCTCCAGGAAGCCCTCTGGGTGTTCCCCTCCCTGCCCACACTGCTCTCTGCCCAGCTTAGGCCACACAGCCCTGGAACTACCTCTTTCCTGGGTTTTGTGCCCACATCAGTGCTAACTAGCTCCTTGCACACAGTAGGTGTTTAAATCTATTTAAGGGGCAGAACCGTGAAGGGCTTAGAACCCCAGAGTCGGTTTGCTGGTTGCAGATTCCAGCTCAGCCACAGATGACCTGGGCCATGCGGCCGCCCTCACCAAGGTCAGGAAGAGGAAATGGGGGCGCGCTCGGGTGAGCAAGCGCGCGGGGGCGCTTCCACGGCCATGCTCTTCCCATCCCTCCAGCCAGGGACTTGCCAGGTTTGAAACAAAACCCTCTCCTGCTGGAATCACTGCGCGGGGGACAGAGGGGGGCCTGACAAGGAAAAGCTGGCCACTTGAAAGCGTCCCCCCAGGAGCCCGCCATTTACACCTCGGGCCAAACGCAAAGGTTCCTCCTTTGATTTTTTTAAAAAAATCTTCTTCTTTGTATGGTTTTCATTTATTTATTTATATCCAGGCTCTTTCCAAAAAAGGCTCTTAGGCGGCTTTTCTTTTTCTCTTTGACATTATTAGAAAAACACAAGTTTGGAAGCGGCTGGCGCAGAGAGCCGGGCGGCAGAGGGAAGGCACAAACCCCACAGCACAAAGGCTCCCGCTCCCCTCGGCCACCCCTGCAAAGATGGGGTGCAGGGGCTCATGGGAGGGGGTCAGGGAGGATAAAAGGGCCCCCATGGGGGGCTGAGCGAGTGGCCAGCCTGGAGCTGCAGGGCGACCCCTGCATTTACTTCCTGACATTTCTCCAAGCGTCTCATTTCAACACAGCTGAGCCGCCGGCCACCTGAGGTGCCTTTTGACATCCTATAGACGCGCCCTGGTTTTCAGCGGGAACAAAAGACCGGAGAACATTTTTAGCGTCCTCCCCCAACCCCATCTGAACCAGGATCAAAGAGAAAACCCCAACGGCGGCTCCTTCCTGGCTCTACGTCTGAAGGAGGCTGGCAACGGGCGGACACTTAACAGCCCCTTTCCAGACAGACCCGCGTCCGGCTCAGCCG